TTCCTTTAAAGGGAACTTTGATGCAAGGCTGAACGCAGTGAGTGATGTGTGTTTTTCCTTGCGCTTTCTTTATTGGCCTTTGTTAATCACAATCTACATGTCAGCTTAGTGCACTATCAGGCTGGCTCAGCTGGTAGCACTCTCAGCTAGAAGTCATGGATTGTGGATTCAATAATAATATTGACATAATTATACTCGTCATATCTTCGAGACGTCTCAAAGCACTTCACAGGATACGCTGTAAAGTGAATTGACTGTGTATTTTGTGGATTCAAGTCCCCGTGTCACGACTTGGAGCTCATGGTCTGGGCTGACACTCCAATGCAGCGCTGGGAGAAAGTTGCGGTGTCAGAGGTCCTGTCCTTTGAAAGAGACTTTAAACCCAGATGTGTCTGACTGATGAGGTGGTCATTAACATTCCCTTGGCATTGGTCGAAAAGAGAAAGGAGTTTTTCTCCTGGTATCCTAGCTGACAATTCCATAGATAAATTGGTCGTTCATTTCACGGCTGTTTGTGGGACTTTGTAGTGTGCAAATTGAGAGCCCACAAATAGATTCAGCAATAATAATAGTAATAATCCTTGCATTTGTTATAGCGCCTTATAGCACAGGAAATCCCATGAGTTTGAGACCTTGTGAGGATGTGATAAGGCGCTATATCAAATGCAAGGAATATTAATATCTGTAACTGATTTTGTAAGCTCTTCGATATCCCTCTTCACATGTCATATTTCTTCCAGGGTCATTTCCAGTCCGTCAACAATTCTCTTGCCTTTTGGGGAAAATTTATTTATTTTTTTTGTGAAAGAGTTGGCACTCAGTTCTCTGAGAACGCTTTCAAACAGCAGGAGCAGCCAACACTGAAAAAACCCCTTCACCGCTTACATTAACCAGACCTCGGGCTTGTGGAGCAGATCCAGGTTACTTTGACATGTTAAGTTAGTTGTTGGGAAGAGCTTCTTTCTGCTTCAACCACAGACTCTGGCACTGAGCATCACAATCTCACCACCCTCTGTGCAAAGTTCCTCCGGAACTCTCTTTTAGATCCGCTAAGCTATCTTGTATTATTATTATTAATAATAATCCTTGCATTTGATGTAGCGCGTGATCACCCACAAGTATTTTTGTGATATTTAACTACGGCTGGACTAATTTGGAGCAATTTAGGTGAACTGGGCATGTCCATGCTGGAGAAGAGAGGGTTGAGGGGCGATTTGATTGCGGTCTTTAAGATTCTGAAGGGAGATAAGCTGTTTTACCTTGCACTGAACAGTAGAACCAGAGCTCACGGCCTGCGATTGGATCTGCGCAAATTCAGAACAACTCTGTGGAAACACTACTTCGGGGCGGCGAGTAGTTGTAGTTTGAGTTTCAAAGTTGCCCAATCACATGGAATCACTACAAAGGAAATGTTATTCCCAAAACACCTACAAATGCAGACACTACAATTTATGGTAAATACTATGAAGCACTTTGAAATGTTTTGACAATGTTATTGCAAGTATTATTATTATTATTACATCCTATTTTGTTAAAGGTTCACAGAAATAAAACATCCATCAGTGTTTTTGACGGGCACGCAAGAGTGGAAATCATCTTAAGATGAGGCCCGGAGATCTCTGTGCGCAAATAAACATTTATTCAGTCTAGCGAAGCAGGGCAACGATTAAGATGCTCATTTGCTCTCCCAACGGCTTTGTGGCTAAGCTAATCACCCAGTGCAGCAGGAATCTGTCCAGAAGATCAGTGTGCAATCCTTGTCTGAGAGGAGATATTTCACCCACAAAATATAGTCAATTAATTTTACAGTATATTCTGTGAAGCGCTTCGAGACGTCTCAAAGACGTGATATTATCGGAGCGAGGACAGCAGTTGAGTCGCTGCAAACAAGCCCCGGCGCCCACTACTTTAGCGGTAGCAAAATGAGGCAAAGATCCTGCTGTTAAAAATAGAGACTCTAGCTGGAAGGTGTATAGATGGACATCAGGAGAGGACAATATCATGGTCACTCGTGGTTTACTGCTCTTGGAAGCCGGGCCAAAAAGAGTCAAACTTCTAAACCAACTAAATAAAACCCATGAACTTCAGCCTCTCTTCTCCCACTCTCTGAAACTCCATACCACATTCCCTTTGCCTCACTCCCTCCCTCGCCTCCTTCAAGGCGCGTCTCAAAACCCTCCTCTTCGACCGAGCCGTCAACTACCCTGCTACCTCCCCGCCCTCCTCTCTCCCCGATCCCGACCACCAGCTCGAGTCCACATCCCTGACTGTCCAGAACCTTGGGACATCCTCCCGACGCGAAAGGCGCTATACAAATGTAATTTTGTATTGCACTGCATACGTTCGATTCCAACAACGACTGCACTAGCAACGATACCCAGTGAAGTCCTTCCGTACAACAGAAGCATCGATTTGGATCGTGGTCCTAAAATGTAGCGTTGTATTGATTGATTGCTCAACCAATATTGATGTTTGATTCTTTTTAAAAAGCTTCCCCTCTAAGGAGGCAAATTGCTGATCAAAAGGTTTGTTTCAAATCAAAAAAAAAAACGCTCGGGCGGGTGGCTGCGGCACAACGACAGCTGGTAGAATACACACGCCAGATTCTCGATGCCCCCCCCCACCCCCACGTGATTTGCGTCAAAGGATTTTATGCAACATTCCAGAGAGCTGCAACATTTGTGCGTCCATGCTTCATCACAGAAAGCCCCGTTCTCCACACGCACGCACGCACACACACACAGAAATGCCTGGAGTGGATTCCAAATGGACTGATGCAAGCAGACCATGTAATCCCACGAGGGTATAACCGTTTCAGCTCCGCTGGCAAAATACCACAATGCTTAAGGCCTGGGTTCAGGACTGATATCTAACTGCTGATCTCTGGGGCTCAGACCTTTTTAACTGATGCTGGAGATATTTTGAGCCGTTGAGGACACAGGCGCGCACGTTAGTAGAAAACGTTGTTCGAGGAATCAAGATAGGCTCGGGCTGAAGAAGGTCCCTCGGCCCATCTGATCTCATCCCTCCACCTTGCTATCCTACCGTCACAGAATTAAGCTGCTTTTTAAATGACAATCTTAAGATCAGCGTCACCTATATAGTCTTTACCTCCAGTTAATTGCTGCTCTGCCTCACGAGAGCGGAAACATTTCTCTCTGTGGGCAGAGCTCGAAGTACCTGATTGAGGAAGAGAGAGAGCATGTTGGTCACCCTGTCAGATGTTTTACTCGGCAAGAGCTAGGCAGAGTTCTAAGGCAAGATGCTGGACATTTGAGGGAGATCTTAAAACTCCTTGAAGCTTTGGGGGCAGGGAGGGGGTGCAGGGACCAAGGTTTTCCATACTGAAATTTCTCAAAAAAATTTCGGCACCAACAATGCAACGAGGGAGGGTCAGACGTGAAGTGTATTGCTGGAAACTTTTAACTCAAGAGCCTCCTCTTTAACCGTGCTTTCGACCACCTTTGCCCCCTCGCCCCTCCCGCCAGCTTAGATGCAAACCCATAAGCTGTCCAGCACTTTGGGATGTCCTCCCGACCTGAAGGGCGCTGCGTAAATTTGTATTGCATCGTGGTGCACGTACAACTGTGGATGGTGGGTTATGCTATTCACTTGATTACGTGAAGAAGGAAACAAAATATTGCTTTAACTTTCCAGTCATGAGCAGAGTGGCATCGTTCATTGGAAAAGGAAAAGCGTGGAATGCGAGGAAAGGATGGAGCATTTTTTTAAAAAAAACAGTATACATAGCATTTCTTCAGGAAGCATTATTTAAGGGATACATATGGAGTTGAGGACATTTCTCGTGATGAGTTGGACAGACCCATCAACCATCAATAATGCCTCAGTTTACTACTGGTGGCTCAGGAGTCAGTACTACCCCAGGGAAAGTGCTAACCCTAATCTTTTCAATCACATTGTGAAATAGCGATGTTAAAAGTCAGTTTCATCTCCTGTGAAATGTTTAACTTCATACATTCCATTACATCAGGGAATATCAAAAATAAGGCCAAGATGTTTAATCCAAATAAAACTTTACGAGCTCAGTTTGCTAAAACCATTAAAATACAATATTCACATGAAGAACTTCAGAACCAATGAGAATATTGGTGGTGTTGAGCAACTGGTTTCTCATTTGCGAAAATATTCCCATGGCTGTTTGAAGTGAATCATATGGATTCCAATAGTACATTGATGGGGGAGCAGAAAGCCAGATTTATACTTCCCACTTCCTCAGTATAATGGTGTTAAAAAACAAGAGTGCACTGTGCGAGAACCACCAACTGAATGTGAAGAACACTGAATTGCAAGGATTAAGTAAATTATAAGGTGTAGAATCACTGGGTTGGGGGGAAAAAAAAGACACCAAGTGGATCATCATCATGAAAGGTTTAGTAAAATGTTTGTAATAGTCAGTTCAATTTAATTGAAATGGGTTAAAAATAAACAAAATTTTTACAAATAGGGTGTAAAAAGATAAAACAGAAGTCACATTGTAATACAGCCCTTTCTTTAAACATATCTAAAAAGCATAACCGTTCTTACAAAGCTATGATATATCATTAAAAGTAAACGTCTCAAATGTGCACAGGATGCAACAAATCTTAAGATGATTAATGTTTGTCCTTCAGTTCATTTAGTTTAGCTCACAATAATTTAGGGATGATTGTAATCCAATTTAGCTGTCGCACATTGCTTCGCTGTCAAAAATACCAATGCAACATTTTTAAGATACTGTACTTATTTAAAAACACGAAACTATCTGCAAAGAGTCATTTAACTTACAAAGACATGCACGCCACAATATACAATGGTAGAGTTTTATTTATAATTTCCACACAGATTATCAACTGCAGTATTATTTTATCAAACTTTATACAATGCTACTAGCTTCTTGTGACCATCATATGAGCATGAAAATAGAATATGTGAACTTTTCCCTATATACATACACACACACACATGCACACTCATAGGCACACACACACACACACACACATTTATATATATATATATTTAAATATATATAAACACACACACACACACACACCCGTAACAGCATCAATATAGTAAACTATAGCCAGGATAGAATGTCTTTTACATTTAGAATTCAAACACGTATTAAATTGGGATCTGTTACAATATATGTTAAAAAAAACATTTTATCCCCACGACTTGCTTAACGTTTGCAATCTATCGTGTACACGGGAAACGCTGGTGAAAACAGGATCGTAAAACCAAAAGAAAAACTCCAATTTGCTGGCAATCACACTATCAAAAATTCTACCTGCAACCTTTTGCTTAAAATGGTTAGCAATATTGCAAAGTTATCAATCCATGTACACTATATACAATAGGTGACCACAACAGTGACCACTGTAGGCTCAGCTGTGATAATGTCCTTGAAATAGTTTTAATGGCAGTTATGGGAATATGAAAGTTTAGGATCACCAAAAAGTGCTGGGCTTTATTCGAATGCAAAGTACATAAATGCAAACCATTCAAAAGATGCACATTTAGGATATAGTGCAAATTAACTACTTTTTAACGATTCCGATGTAAACAAACTGGACAATCACTGCTATCACCAACCGTATCTATCATCTTTTAGGTATGAATTAAAGAGTACATTTAACCATTGATTGTTGCTTGTAGATTTTCACCATCAAAATGCCCTTTACTGGAATTGGAACCTTTTAATAAGAGCAAACTAGAACTCTTGTTAATAAATGCAACAAGCTCCGCAATGTTAAACCACTTCTGGTTGTTGGAATTTTCCTGCTTAGATACAATGGATGAGAGTTTCACAACTGGGAAAGGATTTACCTTTTGTACAATGTACAAAAGTGGACTGATTTGATTATGGTTGGCAAAACCTTACTCTTGCAATATCAGGAAGTATATTTCATCTCGCACCAGAAAAGAGTCTTGATTGCTGGCAATGAAAAGCATTTAAAATCAGGATACAGATGGGAAGGCATTCATATTAAGTAGTATTTTTAAAAGAAAATTAGGCTCTTAGTGACATTACTGCATTGATCTTAATAAGATTTTATAATGGGTAATCACTGCAGTATGATAACTACTTCAAACGTGCACATATTTTAAAAATAGTGTACTTTGAGCCATGTTTCTTTTATTTCTATTTGCTTAGTAAACAGATCAAAATGAGACCAGAGGGAAGCAAACTACTAGTTGGAATTAAATTGAAAAAAGCTTCAACATGTTTCGTTCTTACATAAAATAAAACTATCTTGAGGAACCAAATGTTCCCGTGGAAGAGGGGTGATAAAAGGAGATGGGGCAAAAGTATACTGAGAAATAGTTGGACTATCAGGTTGTCTGTTATATAAAGAAGCTGAAACATTGGTATTATATTTCATGGATCAGTGATAAATTTATCCAGGCTTCATTATCTACAAAATGAACATTGCAGTAGAGGCTTTTCCAGCTATGCCACCTTTCAAAGAGTTCTATGTATGTACCTAGAAGCAGAAATCTTTCTGCATTGCTGCTAAGGTTAATTTACAAAAGAACTACATTAAATTGAATACAGCCAATTGCATTGATGTATTTGAGCCTTATCTGTAGGACTACTATTTTCTAAATATTTTCATGTTTTAAAATACCAGGACTACTAAAATTAAAATAAAATAAACTCCACACATGCCTTAATCAACCACAGCATGCTTTCAGATTGTCAAAATATCACTTGATCCTACGAACATATTAACAAAAGGATCAACACTTATAATTAACACCTTTAATAGGTGGACACTTCACAAAACAGCAAATGTGTAGATTACGATTATAAAAAAAATCTTACCAGCTGTAGAAATCTATGTTTGAACATTTACGCTTAAAACCAGTCATTAGTTAGCACAAAAAAAACTTTGTCTTAGAAAAGTCTGCAATAAACCACCAATTCAACAACAGCCAAGGCAAACAAGCTCCCTGAAAATACTCTTCACTAACGTGCCACCAACTGTGGTGTCAATGTTAACGTACATCCACAAGTTACAACAGACTATAAAGGTAGCTAGACATATCTTTGTAGGGAATATGCATTCGCCTTTGTTTCAGATCAACAGTAAAGTACATAATGGAAAATGTTTTTGAATGTTTCCAGTTGCAAACCATTCTGTAGAGGTAAAATAGGCCATCAGAGAAAAAGCATCAAATTGAATGGCTCCCGAATCAACTCCTGAACATGTATTTCAAGATTGCTCACTTGGCCAGGAACTTAATGATATCAGTCTTAAAACCAACAACTAATTGACATATTTGGTTTCTCTTTTAAAAACACAGAAATAAAATGTAATCGGAACTTTCATCTTCTCAGCCAGGAATATAATGGTCAAATGAACGTTTAGAATATAATGGTCAAATGAGCCAAAACCTTCCTCAAAGGTACATCTAGGGGGCTCATGAAACTGCTCCCCCCTCCAATTTCTTGGTGGTACTTTAAGAAGATTGACCAATAATCAATCAGTTGATTATAAGTAAATATGGCACTATTTGGAGTGGTGAAAAGAAACTACTAAGCAGTACGTAACAGTAGGTATCCAGAGCACTGTTATTGATAAAAAAAATTCCATTATTGTACAAATGTAATTTAAGCTATTAAAAAAATGCTGTTCTTCTGGTGGACATTCTGAAATGTGAGATACCGTGTGAACATTATTTTATTGTATTAAAAGACTGAACATATTTCATAAAACGATTCCAGGCAGTTAGCATGTATGTGCTATTTAAACATCCGATATGTTTCCAAGAGTGACTTGATGCAGAAAAAGTCGAGATGATTGTTCTTTTGACCACCAATGCAGCATTTCAACATTAATCCCAAATTGTATCCACAGATGTCAACATGACAGAGCAAATAATGTCATCAGGATATATAAAAGTATAGGCTATTTTTTTTTAAATATAGCAGATTGTTTGCTATGCATTATTTAAAAGCTGTACCAGTTTCTTCCAGGGTCTGCCTGACTTCAGAGTGAATTATGCAAAATGTGGCTTGATGTGCTTGTACCTTGAAGTGAAGGCTTTTTAACGTGTGCACTCGCTTTGAGGAGTAAATAACGTAACTTGTGCATCGTTGACCTATTTTAAATAAAAGGTTCAGAAAAGGTCCAAGAATCATTTGACCCAAGTCCAGGCACTTTCTCCAAAAGAACTGGAGGTAAACAGCCAAACCCAATTTAATTGTAAAGGACATTGGGTCCTTCTTCTGGAGATGCTCTCTTATGCAGCTCCTCCCTGATACCAAGGATTCCATTGACCTCAGAGTTATTTGTCTTCTGTTCCTCCGTTATTTCCTCATCTTTGTTGATAAGCCCAGCCAAATGACCGAGGGGGAATGCACTGTCACAGTTCTGTGTGGAGGACACCTGTGAAATAACAGGCATTTGCACAGATGAGTTGTTCTCAAAACCGTTGTCTCCTAGCTCATACTGGGCAAGGGCTTCTTCTTGCTCCTGTTTAAGATAGTCTGGAACAATGAAGTCACTGCAAAACAAGAAATCAGAAGGTTTTAATTGAGAGGTAGTGCACAAAACAATCCTAACTATACACAGGTTTAACTCTCCAAATTTTAATCCCGTTTGGATCAATAATAATAATCCCTGGATTTGATATAGCGCCTTATCACATCTTCGAGGCGTCTCAAATGACTTCACAGAACATACCCTAAAGTAAATTGACTGTATGTTTTGTGGGCGAATTAAGATTCCGAATCCACAGAACTAAAAGTCAAGTTGAAAATCATGTCAAGAATTGTTTTTATGTTTATTTCTATCTTAAAAGTTGCCAAAAGACTTCAACTTTCCAGAATGAGAAAGAAAATAGTTTAGTTGGAAACCTTCGGGGTGAAGCATGTGGTAGGTCCATCTGCAGCTACCTCTCATCGTGTTAAGGAAGGATCAGCATTCGAGTCTGGAAAGAATGACGATTCCCACTCGATACAGCTGGCAGCAGATGGATCAGTCACATATTTCACTGGAGTGAGTCTTTTCCACCAGCAGCTTTAGGAATCTAATAGGCCATATGTATATTTTCAGTTTCTCCTCTCAAGACAAGGGGGAAGGGGGGAATGAACTTAATTATATAAAAAGGGTATTTAATCTCAGGGGGACGGGAGCTAAAAAAAAAGCTCAGTAGATGTAAAATGTAGTGGATATTTTCAAATACCCATTATAAAGGTATCTTGAATGAATAGTTTGTTCCAAAAGGATCAAAATGAGATATTCAAAATAATGTCACTACATTTTACATTAAAATGTCAGCTTTGGTGGCAGTGGCGTGCTAAAAAGCAGCTCAAATATAAAACGCACGCTTGACCAAAAAAAAACTGATTATGAAATGATTAACTCCTTAGTTGCCCCAAAGTTCAGCTTGAGATAAAGTGATCATAGGTTTTACTTCAGTTTTGAACCACATGTGGCCCTGTTCTACCTTCCTTTTTTTAAAAAAAATAGAAAGTCATCACATGCTTGCTCCTGGCCCACCTGCTTCCCATACTCTGGCTGGCCTTTGCACTAAAATCAATGACTTAACACGGAAACAGGAAAAGACGCCATTCAGCCCTCGAACCTGTTCTGCCATTTTATGAGATCATGGCTGATCTGTACCTCAAGTTCAGTTAACCGCCATTGCCCCATATCCTTTAATACCCTGACCTAATAAATCCCTCTCTATGAATATCACTTCCTAGCGATATCAATTCCTAACATGTTGGGCAAGTGATGTTGACGGAGACCTGATGACATAGCAATTGGGCATTTTAGTTTCCACATTAAAAATTGACGACATGGGTATATTTTGCTGGTGCAGGAATTGGCTGTGCCGCAGCGCCTTGGGACGTCCTCCCGACGTGAAAGGCGCTCAATAAATGGAATCTTGTTGTTGTTGTTGAATGTGACATTATTTTAAAAGATTGCGATTAAACAACCTCCCAGCACCTTGGGACGTCCTCCTGACGTGAAAGGCACTATACAGATATAATTTGTTGTTGTGATTGCAATTGGTGTCACACTATTTAACCACATTGCTAATTTTTTTTTAAAACACTCACAAAATGTAATTGTCATTCGATCTCACCTGCTCTGGAAGTAGGATGCTAACTCAGATGCTTCATGGTTCAGGCTCCTCAGGTGGACGATTAAATTTCCAGAGTTAGTAAACATGGCACCGCACGTTTTACACTCGTAGATCCGAGGCTTTCGGATAATATGCCTTGAAACGCGCATGTGGTGTTTGTATTCTCCAAATGAAGTGAACGTCGCACTGCATATCTGGCATCGGAAACAGCGCTTGCCTTCGTGCTTGAGACGATGCATCTTTAAAGAGTATGCTCTGGTGAACTTTTTCCCACACCGGTCGCACTGAAAGGGTTTTATACCTAGAAACAAATCAGTGATTCATTTAATGACCAATTCTCAGCTTTGAAATATTCACAGCGCAGAGGAAAGAAATGAGGAGTTTAGTATTTCAGACTTTAAAATTCCTCAAAATGTCAATAACTTCAAATTTCCTCATTCAATTTATTGCAAATTGCAGTATTAATTACTGCAATAAAATTTTAAAATGATTTCTATACAATTCAACAATAAAAATATTGTATATACATTATAACCACAACTTATTTTCTATCAGGAATTTACATCGCAATTCCCAACTCTGAATATCTTCTGCTCATTTACTGCTAGAAAGTAAAAGCAGAATCTTCGTTTTTGTCCGAATTAGTATTTACAAAATTGAATTCATACAACTTTTTACTTTGCACGTCGTCTCTGCCCCCATAAACATTAAATCAATACTGGCAGTAAACTGGGAGAAAAAGTAAAACAGCAAAGCTGTCACGTTTCAAGAACAAATTTACTAGTTGTACAAAAAACAATATGGAATTATTTTGTAATGGTTAAAAGGCATATGCATGACTACATCTCAGCCAAATACATGGAAGTCAACCAAGTCATTAATCTTAAAAGGTCAAATCTGCTTTTATTACCCCCACAATGCCAATCTGTTCCGAAACCCAATGTATAGTTCCAGGAAGAGGTCACATCAGGACCAGAGTGGACTGTGGCTCGCTTCAACAGCTAAAGCCTCACATTTGGAAGCTCATTCCATTATGCAATAAATTTGAAATAAGCTCTAAGCATATTATGAAGCCAAGGGTTTACAGCCATATATTTGCAATATTTCCAACCTAAATATGGTATTCAATTAGGAAATGTTTGTTGCTAAAAGTTGTTTTTTTACTGTTGCAGATGACAGTTTTATGATTCAGTGGAAAACTGCTGTAAAGTTCACTGTAAACACCATTTTATTCAGCTTCAGAACCCATCTTTTTTCATCAGTTGGGATAATAGGAGAATTACACAGCAAGTCAAAAACCTGTTTTATTTCCCCTCTTCTAGTGAAAATGTTGGCTAATGGGAGGTGCAATTGCATGGCCTCCAGTGCTTAACCCATCCATACTGTGTGATCCTGAAACAATGAGGGAAGGGACATGCAAGAGTACATTCCAGTCCTCGCCCAATGAACACGGATGTGCATTTTCAGCAGGGATTTACAGCAAAGCAATCAAAACGTGACGCCAGTAGAGTCTGGATTGTCCACGCTGATTGGGACCGCCCATTGCGAATAAGCAACCAGTGCAGATAATTGGACGCAAACTGCAAATCGGCTGCAATGCTAACCAAAATATTGTCCCATCAGCAGTTTTACTGTTAATATAGTACCACACACATTTTCTCTTGGACTCTCTGGTTCCCCAAGAGTCTCCAATTTTCTACAGAATCTCTCTTTCCCTAATTCCGCAATATCCATTTTTAACCCTAAACTCACGGTACAAATTCTAAAGACTTGCCTTTCTTACTGGCATAAAAAACTGTGGGTGCTTGCTTATATGCAAGGTTGTGAGTAAGTCTGTTAAGATTTGCATGACCTTATTTTGAAATAAGCTCAGAGCATTCCTAACAAGCACATACCCAAAACAGTGCTATTGCCCGTTTCCAACTTCCACATGGGAGGTTTGTGCAGTCAAACAGATTTGCAATTAATTGGTGTGCGGATTTTTTTTGTGAAACTTTCCATTTCCCGGGATACCAATTCTAACATTAATACCATAGTGCTATCTGGACTGAGGTTACCCAACCGCAAATGGCAGAGTGGGTAAATGTGCCATAGCGAAGCCAAGAAAAACAAAAAATTGGAAAAATATAAGAGTCAAAAATAAATGTAAAGAGTGTGCGTCTATGCTACTTTTTTAAAAAAAGCAGTCACTGAACTTTTGCGTCTCCTGTCCAACACAGATCCACAGAAGTCTGACATCTCCTAGTCTTGCTCTTTTACTCAAACAGGCATTCAATATTATCTACAAATACAATAGCTTCTTTGTAGGTCCTACTAACATGGAATTTCTGCAAACTGCAATTTACTAACATTCATATAGAAAATGATTTAGGACTTGGACTGGTTTACTTGGCCAAAGCTGTACTATGCAACCAATTACTTTAATAAAATCATGAACATCTGTTATTTTCTGAAACATGAATATTTCAGATTTGCATAACAATGCTTTTGAAAGTTGAGTCTTTATCTCTACATCTGAAGAGATAAAAAGTTAAAATAGAAAGTCAGTCAATGAGAATAGATGTTATGCAATAGACAGCATATTTCTAATGTGAACTTTCTGGTTTTGACGACACTTTATGTAATTGCTGAAAACGTCTTCAGTCAATGAGAGTATTTCTGCTTTACTTTAGCAGATCACAGCTTATTTAATGAGCACATTAATTTTTTGAGGTTCGAACACACACAGAAAACTTTAGAATTGTGCAAATGCCATTTTATCCAAAAGGCATAGACCTTTTTTGGTTGATTTCAACTGCAGTTTCCTACATTGCAACATATCAATTTGTTTTACAAGAGATATACCCAATTGTCCTGAATGTAATAATAATAATCCTTGCATTTGATATAGTGCCTTATCACGGGGTTGAGATGTCTCAAAGCGCTTCACAGAATATATTATAAAGTGAATTGACTGTGTATTTTGTCGGTGAATATAAAATGTCATGATGATAAAATAAATGATGCAGGTTTCTCTTGAATTGATTGATGCTATTTGCGTCAATGAGTGGCTAAGTCCAGGATGCTGGACTGATTTAAGAAACAGCTTGTTCCTGTGATGCCAGGACAGAAGCGCAGGTATACTAGAGGGACAGATCAAATGTCTGAAAAATAAACTGCAGACTTACAACATCTATCTTGCTCCTATGGGCATTTTTTTCATGTTCTGGACAGATATTAAGCAATTATAACAACAATTTACCTGCATAAATCAGAACTATGCAACCACTGTCATCACCACTGAAATCCTTTGACTACCATTTTACAATATGCTACCACGTTTCTTGCAATTCATTCTTTTGGAATAAATCTGAAACAATGTGTAATGTTTGCTGTTCATGTGCCTTTGATGATGTCTCTTTCTTGCTGTTTGCACCATATTATTTTTAAATAGGATATTCATTTTAGATGGCCTGAAAATGATTAATCTGCAGATTACTTTCTCGCCTTTATGTGGAGAAATCATTTTCATTTCCATGAAACAGTTTGGACTGTTAAGGTTCATTGTGATCGTCATTGGCTTGGTTGAAATTTATTCTCACTCAGGCTTGCTTTAGTTTAAAAATATGGAAACTTTTATTGTAACAATCCTCCCCCCTCCCCTATCTGAACCTTTTCTCCCCCAAATATTTGTTCATGTTTGTCTCACATAGTGCATATTTTTACAGTATATTCTGTGAAACGCTTTGAGACGCCTCGAAGATGTGATAAGGCGCAATATCAAATGCAAGGATTATTAACATTATTAATTGATTGATTTCAATTCACTCGGTTGCAAATTGTACTCGTGTTAGCATTAAGTTTCCAAACTTGAATTGAATGGGCAGTCAGAGAATTAGATGCATTTTGTTTACTGCGTTTAATTACTTTTTCCAGGTTTCAACCAATCCTTTTTTGGGGGCTAAGCTGAACTGGCTTCAAGTTGACATGCTTGGCAATGGTATGTCGGAATCTAGTCAATCCTCTGTGGTAGTCTCAGTTCCAGAGCCAGCCGGCAACACAGTATTCCAGGTCGCTGTTGATGACAAACCAGCAAACCTACGCCTTTATTCAAATATATATTTTAAGGATCTCTGTATGTACAGTCTGCATTTCAGTAATATTTGCATGCTGACATTTACCGCCTGCAAAGTATTTGGGTATAAAAAAGCTGCATATCCAGCTCTGATACACCTTCCAGTGTGAAGGGCACTATATAAATGTAAGTACCATTGTTGCTTCCACTAAATGGAAAAGGTGCACTTTAATTCTGTCTGAAACCCTGTAATTCTCTTTGTCAAACACGGTATATCCCTTTCCCACTCTGCCCAGCAATATCTAAGACAACAATGTGCTGTCACTTAACAGCTCATTTAAGTGGTTAAAACAAAGGTAGAACCTGAAAATGTTCCCAAGTTGAAGTCTACATGCTTTAAACACCGACCGATAAGGAAGAAAAGGTCAAATGAACAAACACAAGCACCTCCACATTTACCTGAGTGAATCAGCATATGCTGTTTGAGGTTCTGAATGCGAGTGAAGCGGGCACCACACGTGGGACACTGGAAAGGTTTGTCCGGACCGTTTGGACTTGGTCTTTCTGTGCCACTAGTCGACGGGTTGATGTACAGCTGGTACGAGTACTGCCCACTCTCCAATCTACGGAATCAGGAAACTTCAATTGAAAAATGTAATCCAAGGATTATTTAGAAGTTCCCAATTTATTTGCATGACTGAATGTGTTTATCAAGTCAATACAAGTTTTTACAAGTACGTGCCCTAGATAAACTGCAGATCCTATCTAGAGTGGCGTTGAGGTAGCTGGAGAGAATCCACACAGCATAAGAAACAATCACAAGAAATGAGAGCAGATACATTTTCTAGCAATTCTGCAGCTAAATGCATCCTTATCTGAGGCCACAGAATTTAAGACATGTTGAAATGCATTAAAAAAAATGCTTAATGCAATAACACAACAACTTACAACTTGTATAGCCCTTCCACATCAGGAGGACGTCCCAAAGCGATGGACAGTCGGGGATCTGCACCTGAGCGGGGGCCCTGGATTAGGAGGGGTGGAGGGCATGGAGGGTGGGGTAGGAGGGTGACAAAGGCACGGTCGACAAGGAGGGTCTTGAGATAGTTCTTGAAGAGGGGGAAGAAAGGGGCAAGGCAGAGGGATTGAAGGAGTGTTCCAGAGGTTCAGGGCATAGTGGCTGAAGGCACAGCCACTGATGGTGGCATGGAGGGACAAACAGGAGGCTGGAGCCAGCTGAGCGGAGGCAGCAGATGGTGGAGTGCAGGGTAAGCAGGTCGGAGAGGTAGGGAGGTGTGAGGGCATGTCGTCGATTTCAAAAGATATGTTGAAATGCATTAAAAAAATGATTATCACAATAATATATGTCCCAATATTAATTCCAAAAGAGATTTCAAGTATAAATGTAGTTACCTATCGTCATCATCAGGGTGAGTGTTGGCACCAGAAGTGCCTTGGAGCGTTGGTAGCCCCTCTGTAACCCCTTCATCGATTGATCCTTTTAAGGTAAAAAGGGAACGACGTTGGAACATTTTAGAAGTCTGTTACTTAGAGTTCGTACCTCGATATACCGAACATGCATCCTGCGGTTGTGAGCAGCCTTTTCTTGCAATGTGCATATCAACTGAAGTTTCATGCTGTGCATACCAATTGAAGTTTAATAACTTTTCCGTCAGTACATATGAAATTAACGTCGGTGTCAAATACAGCATATTTTAAATTTATCCAAATTAAATAGAAGGTAGGAAAGTAAAATAGAATATGAAATTAACTGGTACAGATTTACACCAGTGTCAGTTTTAGGTCCAATAAAAATCACCTACATTAGTCAATGACTTCTTTAATCAGGAGAGAAATAAGACAAGAAGAGAAAGGAAATTGAGACAGGAAAAGAATGCTGGATAGATGTATTGGTAGATTCTGAGTACATATGATACTGCAGCTGCTAAAGGAGGTGATAGAAACAAACAAATGCAACCTGTGTACAGTTACTCACCATTTGTCTTCTGCAAAATTTCCTTTTTTATATACTCAAAAACGTGATTTAAAGACCTATTCCAGATTAACAGGATATGATTTGCCAATTTGTAAATTAAAGCATTTTAATCAGAAGTAGTTATTTAAAATATTGGATAGGTTGAACAGATTGCAGCTGCAGCTATTATAAACACCTGCAGTTTGACCCAGTTTCAAAGGCAACTCAAGATACATTGATGAACAAACAAGAGAGTCCCTTTCATATCCAATACTGAAACTAACCTGGAGGCAGGGTACATTTTCTGAGCTAGAGGTATACTCCAGAAGAACAAAGGTGTAGCATTCAACATTGTTTAAAAAAAAATCCAAATACAAATGTTCAAGCAGAACATAGTGCTATCTAAAAAGTACAGTACTCTATTACTGATTGACCGTTAAATCTCCAGCATTAATTCCTGGACTGTTACTTAAATAGCTCGGTGAGAGTGATCAATGGCAAAATGTGACACGTTACATTTTTTTAGTATTATTGAATTCATAAAAATTTGAATTAATCTTCACATCATCCCACATAGCGGTTATGCATTATGCGCATAAAAAGGTAAAGGTTTAGTGGTACCTACCAATGGAGGACGACTGGGGACTGATCAGTAGATCTTCCTGAGCCTGTTCACTCCCTGGTACAGTTTGGTGGTCGCTAAGGGAACTCTGGGAAGCACTGACAGGTTGTGAAACCTCCTCGTGACCTTCATCATCACTTAACCTTTCAACTTTGATCCGCACGTCATCTTCCATCATTGGGGACGATGTTTTTGTACTCTCGCAATTAGTGTAATCAGGCACTCTTCCAGTCACCTCTGTGCTTGCAGTCTGCTCTAAGGCCCTAACACTTTCCGTCTGTTTAGATTTGTCTGTTTGGGTCCGGCGATCAGCACCCAAAGGATAGGTCCATTGAAACGACAAAGAGGAGTCTACAGGTTGCTGGGTCCTGGTATCTGAAAAGGTTACAGAGGGATTTACGGCTTGTGATGAATTAGGCTGTACTGCAGATTCAGTGGGACTCTCAGGGGAAACCATGATGAAGTTCTTTCGTTTCCTGCGCGATTCTCTGGGCTTGCTTTTTTCCACAGAACTACAGTCTGATGATACTGGAGATAGACTATCATCGTGGGATTGAATGATGCAGGCTCCACTGGTCTCTTGAGGAAGTGAGGGGACTGGTCCTGGCTGACTACTGTTTGTGTTCCACAGGATACTTGATTTCATGAACTCTGAACAAGTATTTGCGACATGGAACATCTGCATGTAGCTTGCAGCTGCCAAAACATCAATAATATTCTCGGTATTGATCGCAAGAGTAGCGGTGTATGCATACTCCAACAGTGGTGAAAACCCACTCACGGTAACATGATTCAAATCCAAAATACATTCCTCTCCATCTGATTGCGTGATAAGTTTCGCCCTGAAGAACTCGCTACATGCAGCAAGAACCACTTTGTGGGCCCTAAAGAGCTTGTCCTGGACCCGAATAGTCACATCGCAGAACTGTCCTTCATTGCGGAGTTTGTTTAATTTCCCCAGCAGCTCTTGGCCATGGACTGGAGAATTGTGTGTAAATGTTCGCACACCCATTATTTATCGCCCGTTCCGTGTTCAGTTATACTCTGGTAACCTAAACCCTAAAGGAAACAAAATGTGCAATATGTATTTCAATGTTGCCATTTCCTTTTTTTTTACTATTTTACTCATTTCGAGAAGATAATTTGCCATATCAAACACTGCAGTATTTTATAAGACCCTCATATGCTACAGTTGAGTGAACCAACTAATTGTAATATATACGTACAGTTATTAGTAAACAAGACCTAAACAGTTTCTCACTTTGACATTATGTAGTAAATAGCAGGTAAATATCTTTTGATCTTTTAAAATTATTTGCCTTTTTTCAATTACACAACCATAAATACAATGTTATTAAAGCAGGTAATGGATAGTTGTCTAAACTTTTATTTCCAGTAATCGAAATACATAATTTCAACCGAATACAGTTTATTCATCTGAATAATTCTTGAGTAGTTTTACGTAAGGCTTACTGTGGAGCTTGGGTAGGTGACAAAATATAAAGAGATGGCAAACGTAAGATCAGAGCTTTCAGAATGAAAGCTTTCAACTGCGTCAACAACTCAACACTCCTTTTAAAAAGGAAATCTCTCCCAACTCCCATTTTACATTCTGGGAAGCATTTCAACCTTTCCGAGTTTTATACTATGTGTTCTAATAACAGCATTAATGGAGATCACCCACCTTCTGATTGTTAAATCAATGTTCCCGGCGAGACATTTCCTGAAATATTCATTCAAATACTTTGATGCGTGCAATTTGACCAAAAATACTGGGCTGTATAAAAAGAAAAAACAGTAAAACAAAAGTTATAGGTATGTGCATGTAAAAATACATGTTACAGTATCATGAATTGAATGTTGAAGTGGCTGCTGATGTCGGAGTCAAATATATTGGTAAAATTAACGTTCCCAATTACTGCAAGTGGCAACTTTTCACTTTTAATCAGTATTTGATTTTTTCAGGAAACTTTAATGTCCAAATGTCAACATTTTGATTTCCTACTCCATTTCTCCCCTGCTTTCCCGATCGCCCCAATTTTCTGCTGCTGAAATATAGTTCCGTGTGCTCTTGCTCAATAATCCATTCAAAATAGTTGACAGTAAACGTGTCATCAGGTAATTTACCTGGAGAGAGGAAAGAGGAAGAGAATTGCAACAAACCTGATCCTCTCCATACCTAAAGTCCATCTCCAGCAATGAGAGGACCTCTGGCTGATTTTTCTTTCCCTAACTAACCCTAGCTCTGCGACAGTATTGCTGCCCTAGTTAACAACACAGAACAGAAATGGAAACTAGGACTTTCCCAGTGTAATTCAGCTACTCACTAAATAAACTTGCCCTGACAGGAGCTATTTCATGTTCAACCTATTGTTTTAATTCTAAATCTACAATAATTTTCTTTGCAATACTATAATATGCCGACAGTTCACCCTCATAACCACACTATGCTTTCAATAAACTGATTCAATGTTTTCAGAAAAGTCACAATGTCATTTTTGGTAAGTGATTGATGTGAAACAATATACTCAGCGATATATATAGTATTTTTATTTAATATTCTTCTGACCAAACTGACTAATTACTCCTGTAGATACATACCGCTCTATCCAATGCCAGATGTTCTGATAGCGTTAATCATAGATCAGCCAGTAGAAATTATGCATTGTAGCATACTTATTTACTTTAACGCACTAGAACATTTGCATAAGTTATCTGAGTAAACAGTTTGTAGTTGTGCATGCTTCTAATGAATGTTCAAGGTATACAATCAGCACACTTCAATGTAACTCACTGTACGAAGCACTTAGACATACAACAACATAATTACATTTGTAAAGTGTTTTTCATGTTGAACGGACGTCCCAAGGCGCTATAAACATGCTACCATTATGCATCAAGCCTTCCTTATAAAAACAGTCACTGCACTTTAAAATGAATCCTGTTCATTTCACTTTGAGACATTCTCCCAATGTGAAATACAAATTACAAGGTTCATTATTTTCACTATTTACAATGCATATTTAACAGGTCAAAAGTTTGCAGCATCTTAATGAAGTCAACAGCCCTTTTAACTGCAACCCTGCCAGAAATACATGCTGGGCTGTTGTCTAGCTCTACTATCATGATTATTTTTACTGTATTATGAATAATTAATGTTTTTTTTCAAAAGTCAGCAATCCCAATTCATGCACAACATAAAATGCTAAATTCTCTTATTGTAACCAATTGTCAAAACATAAAAGTGGACAGAAAATTGCCGTGTTTTCAGACCGATGGTGCTATGCAGTTAACTTAAAACATTTTTTTTTGCCTTGATCAACGTAAACAACAACAACACATTGCATTTATATGGTATCTCTCACATGGGGAGAACATCCCAGGGCACTGGACGCTCAGTGGCACCCGAGCTGGGGGTTCAAATTAAGAGGGGTGAAGGGGGTGGGAGAATGACCAAAAGCACGGTCAGACTAGGAAGTGTTAAGACGGGCCTTGAAGGAGGTGAGGGAGGGGACGAGGCAGAGGATGGAGTTCAAGAGGGTAAAGGACTGTCCCCTTCAAGCGGGTATACACACACACACGGGTATATACACACGCGCGAGTATATACACACAGGTATACACACACACACAGGTATACACACACACGGGTATACACACACACGGGTATATACGCGCACAGGTATACACACACACACACGGGTATACACACACATACAGGTATACACACACACACACACACGAGTATATACGCGCACAGGTATACACACACGGGTATACACACACACACACACGAGTATATACGCGCACAGGTATACACACACACACGGGTATACACACACACGGGTATACACACACACGAGTATATACGCACACAGGTATACACACACAGGTATACACACACACACACACACACGAGTATATACGCACACAGGTATACAACACACACACGGGTATACACACACACAGGTATACACACACACACACTAGTATATACGCACACAGGTATACACACACACACACGGGTATACACACACACAGGTATACACACACACACACGAGTATATACGCACACAGGTACACACACACACAGGTACACACACACACAGGTACACACACAGGTATACACACATACATGTACGCACACACGTATACACAGACACTCATCCCATCTCTCTCTCACACACACACATGTATATACGTGCGTGAGCGACCCTCCCCCCCCCGCACGGGGCCTCGCTCCCCGCAACACACACACTACACACCGCGGCCTCGTCGTGTGCAGCCACACAACCCCAACCCGGGGGGGGGAGGGGGGGGAGTGGGGGGGAGAGACGTGAGGAACAGGACCGCCGTTACGGTGGGGGGAGGGGGGCCCTGTGTTTACTGCAGTTTGGGGCCCGCGCGAGGCGGGGAGGAGAGTGAGGTGAGAACCGTGAGGGGTGGCGGGGGGGGGGGGGGAAGGGAGGAAACGGGGACAACAACACCCCCCCACCCCACCCCCCGCCCCCAACCCACCTCCACCTCTCCTCCCCCCCCCTCACCCAACCCGCTCAGGCCTCGCTCGCCGGGTGGTCAGTGTGTGTCCCCTCCCCCCGCGGTGTGGGGTGTGTGAGGGTGGGGGGGGGGGGGTGTGAGGGGGGTGAGGGGGGGTGAGGGTGGTCTCTCACCGGGCCCGGGCCTGGCGCCGCTCCCCCCGCGCCTCTCTCTCGTTGTCTCTCTCTCTCTCTGTCTCTCTCTCGCGCGTTGGTCACCGTCTCGAGAGCCCAACGGCCGTTTGTTTTGTTCCCGACAGCCTCCGCGCCGCCACGGCCGCCTGTCACTCAAGCGCGGCGCGGGGCGGGGCCTGGGCCGGGCTGGCGGCAGGGGGGCGGGGCCTGGGCTGGGCTTAGTGGGTGGAGCCTGGGCTGGGCGGGGCCTGGGCTGGCTGGGAGGGGGCGGGGCCTGGGCTGGGTGGAGCGAGGGGCGGGGCCTCTCGGCCCTGAGTGACAGGTCACTTGTGTGGGTGGGATGTGGCAATGTCAACTCTGCTCTAATAATAATAATAATCATTCATTCCTTCCTATTTAATTCATCAATGAATGCATTAAGAAGAATAATCGTCTTTGCCTTTGATAGAGCGGCTCACGAACGGCGCTGAGCATTCAAAGCGCGGCACAGGAGGAATAAAAATAATAATAATGATGATAATAATAATAATCCTCGCTTTCGATGCAGCCGCCTTATCGTGTCTTCGAGACGTCCCAAAGCGCCTCACAGGATACGCTCGCTGTAAAGTGAATTGACTTGGGGGCGAAACGCGGCTGCCACAATTGCGCACAGCGGCGTCCCCCCCACAAACGGGCGTGGATTGGAGTGACCAATTTTATTATTGTTTTTTTTTCGTGGTGGGATTATCGTCAGGTGCGTGGAGCGGAGAGTAAGAAAACTTGCCCCAGGTCTCGCCCTGCCGGGATACAGGAGAGTGTGGGATACAGCAGAGTGTGCGAGAGTGTTGGGTGTGGGGAGACTGTGGGGTTTGGCAGCGTCAAATATGGTTAGATTCTGAATATTAGAACTGGAGCACACACACATCACCGATCCTTTGAAGTAAAAGAACGATGAGAGCAATGGAACAAAGTAATGGAAGGTTTAGCCACGAAAGGAGACCCGACGTGGATCGTAAAATCAGTTTAACATTGAATTTTATATTTCTCTTCAGGGATATCTGTGGGTTGTTCCCGTGTACCAACTGGTTGCTGTGTTTGCCTACAAAATACGGGCGCTATACTTCACGGTAAAATCTGATGAGGTGCTTTGAGGCATCTTCCTGACCTGAAAAGCGTTCTATCAAATTCAAATATTATTTTTGTTGCTATAATTGTGGGATATAGTACATAGATAATTCAGGACACATGTGCATGGGACCACCAAGAAGGTAGAAGGAGAACTAGATGGACCTTGGTCTTTTTTTTCGTCTAGCATTTCTTTTAGGTTCTTATTGTAGGCGAGGTTAAAGTGAACATATTAAGCTTGCCTAGAAGATTTGATGGTCCTGTTTGAATAATAAGTAAAGATCCGGAGCTCTCTTTCTTTCTGGCATCACCTCAACACTCTGACGTAGCACAGATTACTGTGCAAATAAGTCAGGTAATAAGTACCTTTGAAATGCCCACGCAAAATGGAAATGCCCTCACAATTTAACTGTGGAAGAACGCTTGTACAATTGAAACACTTTAAAAATGTTTAAAACCACCGCACCAAAGATGCTCAAAGGCAACAACCTGCATTTATACAGCACCCTTCAAGTAGTATAATATCTTAGAGCTTGATGTGTGAGGTGGGTCAAAGAGGAAAGTCTAGTCTTCAGGTACAATCCGAAGATGGGCAAAGAGGGGACAAGGTGGGAAAGGGAGCAAAGATGCCTAAACAATGTTTATCAACACTCTGAATTATGCTGAAAGTTTTTTTCCTGTTTATACGTGATAAATCCTGAGGACCTTTGTTGCCGTGCGTGTATAAGATACTACAGTACCGCTGACTGGCAGAGAACTCTTCCAGCTAAGGATTGCCAGAAATAACTGGGTCTCGGCCACATTATGTTCTGTTGAATAACAAGTACATTGTGGCATAAATGTTTAAGTAAAACTCGTAAAAGTAATGATTACGCAGAGCTTCCAAGCGGTTCCAGGTAAAACAATAAAATGTTTTTCAAAGTTTGACAATTAAAATGCAACATGTTTGAGATGCTGAGCAGATCTAAATGGTGCTCTCACTTTGGCATTTGGATACGAAACCAGCTCACAATGCTGAGATGTCTCAAATTGAATGAAGGTGGTTTGGTCTGAACCCAATCTTTTTTGGGTGCCAACCTATGTAATTGCAACCCACTTTTTAGCACAACCTAATGGCCTCATTCAATAACGGTGGGTTTGGGAAATGCAATAATTTGCACGGGTTCAGTTTCTGTTCCTGAGGGTGCAATTCAGAAACCATTACCGGGGGCCCAGGAAAAGAAATAGGAAATAGGTTGTTTATCCAGACATGCTACTGCATATCCAGCCGAGAAGCATTCAGCAACAAATGGCAAATGTCACGTTAGGATTGAAGACTCACCGGTATTGACTGAGTACTGTATGTGTCTATACACTGACTGTATTAGCAACCGATTAGTGCACAGCAAAGTCTAACAAACAGCTTTGAAGTTGAAGTGAATGGTCAACTTAATTGGAGGAACACCAGGTCAAACTCCATAACTCCATTTTCTTCAATGAATAGTGCCATGTACTTTTAGTTAAAGACAAACAAACACCACAACAACCACAACAACAAAATTACATTTTGTATATTGCCTTTCACGTCGGGAGGACGTCCCAAGGCGCTGGATAAAGCCTTGGTTTAATGTCTCAATCGAAGAGTCTCATTGTGGGCTTTGAACCTCCAGCCTTCTGCCTTCAGAGGCAAGAGTGTTACCAACTGAGCAAGTCTGACACCTAATATGTGCCAAGCAATTTCTGTCACCAAAGCCCCAAGTCAAGTTCTCTTAGGCTTAGCACAGACATGATGGACCAAATGGTTTATATCTGTGCGCATATTTTGTTCATCTCAAGAGGGATTCTTAAGATTCTGCACCGAGGAGGGCAATAACCCACATTTCAGGTTTGACGTATCGCAGATGGATATTGCCAGAATAATGTGCTGTTTTCAAGAGACTCGATTAAATCTCAAAAGAATTGTATTGGATTTACTTGCAAAACCAAACTGATATCTGAAAAGGAAAGGCGAAAAGGCAGGGGATTGGATTTAAACAGAAAGTTCTTGCGCAGGGACAACAGGTTAAATGTTGTCTATGTCTATGCTGCAAAAATTCTGTGATTCTAGGTGAGATATATTGGGGGTATTGGATGAAGCTATTAATGAACTGTTACCAAAAGGAGTGTGTTGCAATCCTGAATGCTTTTCATATTGATAGGCTGATACCAATATAACCTGTTCTGGGACATTTATTGATCGGTGCCCAAGTTATAAGGAGAAAAGGCTGGTACTATCAACCTACTGTGTAATCTAAAGCACCAATACACAGTCAGTTATAATAATAATCCTTGCATTTGATATAGCGCCTTATCACGTTTTCGAGACGTCTCAAAGCGCTTCACAGAATATACTGTGAAGTGAATTGACTGTATATTTTGTGGGAGAAACATGGCAACCAATTGACCCACAAACAGTCATGGATTGAGTGACCACATTTTATTTATTTTAAATACAGCAGCCTACATACAGTGGAAAGTGAAGAGCGAGAGGGAAAAGTATCATTTACAAAGTTAGCTTTCTATTCAAAGCACCCTTGGTCTGGAAAAGGAAGCAAAGAGGTACAATTTTGGGCTTAGCGACAGCTCCTAATATGAAGCTACAATTATTTTGGTATTTTCCGAAGGAACAGAGAAATAAATCACAATCCTCCCCATTGCAAACTCTCCAAGCGCTTCTTGTGAACTGTGGGATAAACAGGTGAGAAACAATGCGATCCTTTATCATTTATCATTAACAGCTCTGTCCGTCAGTCAGAGACATCAACTAACAGGTAGAAAACCGTAGATTTCCCTGCAGGGAACAAATGTACCATCAGACAAGTCATAGTAAAAGTTTGGCTTGACAAAAGAAGAGTAAAATATTATAGACATTTAATTTTGTAAATGATGGTTTTTAACCACCCACAAATATTTTTGTAATACTTACCTGCAATTGGACTGCAAGGAGTGATTGGGTAAACTGGACATGATCACACTGGAGAAGAGAAGGTTGAGGGGCGATATGATTCTGCCTGGATGGTGGAAGGCAAACTAGATGGACCTTAATGATAATAATAATCCTTGCATTTGATGTGGCATTTTTCACGTCTTCTAGACGTCTCAAAGTGCTTCACAGAATATATTTGTGGACGAAACGTGGCAGCTAATCCCGCATAGCAGTGTCCTACCTTGGTCTTCTTTCGCCTCGCGAACTTCCAAACTTTGTATGGAAGTTTATAACATATTTCAAAACCCCTGGGAAAAAAGTCACTTTTACAATTCGTTTCTATGAGAACCATTGCTCAATAATTAGTTTAGTTTTGCTAATTCCTTGTTGTGTATTCAGCTAGGTTAAAGGTGGTGAAATAGCTCCATAAATCATATTGTACCCTCTTTACTCACACAATGTCCAGCAAAGGCCAATTTATTCTGTCTGCTTCCATTAGTGCATATTTTGTATGGCCCAACTTTTAAAAAGTATTTGAAAGGTCGAGCAATATTTGCATTTCTTTGCTGAAGTACAGCTGTTTCGTTTCCTGTACATCAATTTTTCTTTCACTTTCTTAGAATTATAAAATCTTTGCAGCACAGAAGGAGACCCATCGTGTTTGTGCTGGTGCAAGCTGCCTCATTGGAGTTCTCGACCCTAACAACAACAACTTGCATTGATATAGCGTCCCAGAGTGAGCCCCAATTCCATTCCTCTACCCTTTCCCCATAGCCTTTAAGATTATGGATCAAATCTCCTTTTAAGTCTTTGGTTTCAACAAACATTTGTGGTAAAGTATTCCGTATCCTACCCGCCCGCTGTGTAAAAGATCTACCTTCTTTTTCCATCAGCTTCCAATTCTCTTATGCTCCCGTATTTACTGACATCTCGATCTGGAAAACACCTTCCAGTACCGAGATGCTAATCTAAGATCCAGACTTCCTCTTCAGGTGGATGTCAAAGATCCCATGGGCACTACTTGACAAGAGAAGTGTCTCCTGGTGTCTCGGCCAACAATCCTCCAGAGAGAAAAAACATTGATCGCGCACTTCATTGCCGTTTGTGGGACATTACAAATACACAGTCACTACACTTCACAGTAAATTCTGCCAAAGTGCTTCGAGACGTTACGATGACCTGATAAAGCTCTGTAGCAAATGCAAGGAATATTATAATATGCTTCTGAGGTTACATTCCATCAGAGTCAGGTAATGTGCTACACAGAATAATTTAATCACAAATTCATATTTACAAATAGGGGGTTTTAATTTGTCCCCAAGGCAAATGGATGAAATCAAAGGGTCAAAATTAAGACGTCACAATTGCCAACTCATCTAACATTTTATTTTAACACTCACATTGACCTCATTTTTACCCTTAGAATGTCAGCATTCCTGTTTATCGTCGAACAACATTACCTCCGTGGTTTCAAATAACCATTTCTGTCAGCATTGGGAACCCCAATGGAGTTTATCAACGTAAACCCGGAGTCAGACACAGAGAGAGAATCCACAAGACGACAATGAGAAAAGAGTCAGAGAGAATCTAAGAGAAGAACTAACAATACATGCAGAGCTTGATCGTCTGTACCATTCTGTTGCCACGATGACAATCAGTTGTAGTCATTACTGTAGTGCTTACTGCGGTTTCATTTAAAAATAATCTTTAAAGAATTATTTTCAATGGAAGGGCTGGATTTTTCCATAAAGTTATCTTGCCTTTCCAGCTCTAAGTTTTGTGGACCTATAAACTCTCCAGTTTATATCAATGCTGAAATACTATACATTGATAGTCTCCTGTCCAGAGGGAGAGGGATAACACTAAGCAGGTCTATCTCGGGTGGTGGAGTGGATAGAACTGTAGCTTAAGGACACAAGCTTGCTGGTTTGAATCCCGGTCGCTACTGAGTTTGCTGATCTCAATTGGGCCACACAAAATGGAAAGTTTCATTCTCTCTTTAACACGAACAAGGTGAAGGAATACAGACCCAAAGCTGTAGAGCCAAAGTCCTTAAGCTACAGTTCTATCCAATCCACCACTGGGTCCACCCTAGATAGACATGCTTAGCATATGGGATACCAGGCTTTATAAATAGGGGCATAGAATACAAAAGTCAAGAAGTTATGGTGAAACTTGATAAAGCACTGGTTAGGCCTCAGCGAGAGACTGTGTTCAGTTCTGGGCACCACACTTTAGGAAGGATGTCAAGGCATTGGAGAGGGTGCAAAGGAGATTTACCAGCATGGTACCAGGGATGAGGGACTTCAGTTATCAGGAGAGGCGAGAGAAGCCGGGATTATTCTCCTTGGAGCAGAGAAAGTTAAGAGGAGACTTAATAGAAGTTTTCAAAATAAGGGGATTCGATAGGGTGAACGCGGAGAAACTATTTCCACTGGCGGGTGGGTCGGTAAGCCGAGGACGTCGATTTAAAATAGTTGTTAAAAGAAACAGAGGGGAGGCGAGGAGAAATATTTTTTACACAGCGAGTTGTTGGGATCTGGAATGCATTGCCTGAAAAGCTGGTGGAAGCCGATTCGATAACAACTCCGGGCTATGGCGGAGAGAGTGGGGTTATGGAATTGATTTGGATAACTCTTTTTAAAGAGCTGGCACAGGCACGATGGGCCGAATGGCCTCTTTCTGCGCTGTATAGTTCTATGATTCCAAAGAAACTGTTAAGAGAAAGCATTAGGAAGAAAAAGAGGGGAGGAATGACCAGGGATGGGGGAGAGAGAAAGAAGTAACAGTGAGTAAAGTATGAGCTATAATCCATGATTTATTGTGCATGTTTACACAGGGCTGCTGTCACAGCAAATTCTGCATTATTTACTAAAGTGGCAAAGTTCATACATAACCATAATTGTACAACGTTTTTATAAAATTAAAATCGATTTATTTCAATGCATCTACAAGTTTTCATTGTTTGTTGAGTGGGAGTTGATGACCGGTTGTACAACAAACTTAAGCATCTATAGAAGGAAAAAAAAAGTCTCTCCGTTTGTAACACAGCAGCATCTAAAACAATCTGAAGTACAATGTCAGTAAAAGGTACAAACTGTACAAAAATAAATAGCTTTAAAGGAAGCTAAGAATAACTACACTCCTTCATTGAAGGTATATGATACCTCAGGTTCTCTATGTACAGTATGGAATGCTACATCTCATTAGAATTAGTTTTAAAATCTTCCATAAAATATACACACTGTGGTACGAGACTGATCTAGAACAAGACTATTATACACACACACACACACCAAAAGGCAGGACTTCTTAATTATTAAATTACAATTACTACAAAGTTGCCGTCTTCGCAATCTGCAATCGTCGAGGGTTAAGACCTGGCACAGCAGCATAAAGGGAACGCGTACAGTGTATACTTAGCCTAACTTCTGAAAGGCAACGTTGTGGGCAACATCTTCCGAGGTAGATAACTATCTGGCAAAAGAAACAAGATGTACAGTGGTATTTGCTGTCGTCGAATACAACCAACAGGTCTCTACTTTGCTGACCTATTTGGGTCACGTTAGTGCACTTTCTCCAATTGCCTACGGCTGCACGAACCCCTCGAATCTCAGAATCTAAGCAGGGGCCAAGCGTTGTTTCCTAACAAGCTGTCAGATTTAATCTCTTTCCACATAAAAGGCAGCCAGCGCCCCGCTTAGCACTGCTGTAAGACGCACGCCTCAGTCACGGGCTTTAGTTCTTTGGTAGAGTTGCACTTCTCCTCTTCTACAGTCTTACCAGTGTATTCAACGCACAACGCACTGCGCTCCCTTTGCCCCAGGCCGCACGTTCTTGAGCAGGGGGACCAGGAGCCCAGCTGCCACAGTGGGCAAGGTACGTTGGCACAGGGTCTGGTGTCATCCGGCTGCAATGCCATGTCACATTCCAGGGATACCTGGCCGTGATTGTCCTTGCACTCGACAATCCTCCTCTGCCTCCCAGACCCACAACTGCGAGAACACTGGGACCATTCCCCAAGGCTCCACTGAGAGACCACGGACTGCTTGATGGCGTTGGGGGACTTCTTGGGTGCCTTGGCTTTCCCCTTGCTGAACGGCACGCCTTTGGGGATGAAGAAGCTGTACTTCACCCTGGGGGGTAATAATGCATCCGTGGTTATTGACAGCAGCTGGATGGTCAAGGGTTCCTGCAGTTGTTGGAAGCTTTGGATCCGTTCCAGAGTGGTAGAGGAGCCACTGTACTTCAGAATCGCCCCTCCGACTGGGATATCTTGTTCCATTGGGATCACCGAATACGCTCCATTCAGAATGTACTTGTCCAGTAACTTCACAGCCAGGTAGTTACCGTCATGCTTAATCCCCTTGTGGCTCCGCTGTTTGACATCGATGTTAGTGGCACCAGCTGGGATCGTAACAATATCATTGTAGCCGTACCTGGGCAAAACAGAAATCATTGTTAATGCTCCAGAATAACCTAAGCAGTGCAGTGAGAGGTTTAGTCCCTCACCGTAAACAAATACAATTCTTAATCAATGAAGAATGGGATTTAAACTCCCAATTCAAAATATTGTTCACCTACAAATACACAGTCACTACACTTCACAATATATTGAGCCATCTGCCTGATGTGAAAGGCGCCACCATCTATATCTATTTTTGGGGGGACTCGAGGGTTTCAAGAAGATATCAACAAAAAGGTTTCGCCCACAAAATATACAGTCAATTCACTGTACAATATATTCTGTGAAGCGCTTTGAGACATCTCGATGATGTAATCAAATGCAAGGATTATTGAAGGAGTCAGGGTTATCAACAACAACAACTTGCAATTATATAGCACCCTCCACACTGGGTAGCGTCTCAGAGAGCTTAACAGTGGCAGAGTGGCACCTCCGGTGGAGGTGGCTGTAAGCACGGTCAGACAGGATTGCTTTCAGGGGAGACTTGAAACAGGGGAGAGGGGGGGGGCAAGGCGGAGGGATTGAAGGAGAGTGTCCCAGAGTATTGGGGTGTAGTGGCTGAAAGCACAACCTCCGATGGTGGGTGGGGGGGGTGCGAGGGACAAGCAGGAGGCCGGTGCCAGTCGGGCGGAGGTGCCGGGTGGTGGATTGGGGAGTGAGGAGATCGGAGAGGGAGGGAGGTGGTGGCAGAGAGTGAAGGGATTGGAACAAGAGAGTGAGGATCCTGAAGTCGAATTATCAATACATCTAAACTATCAGATTTCGATGTATTGAAGAAATCTTGTGGCTCGGCTGAAGGAAGGAATCAATGGGCTTTTCCTGCCTCAAATCGTTACTGAGCACTGAAACTGGAGGAGAATTGGACAGACGTACCTGGCCTTGTTCAGAGAGCCTGTTATTTTTCTGCATGTTGAACTATCCCCGCCACACACTGCGCACTTGTCCAGTTTCTTGACCGACCCAATGACGTGATCGCAACCAGCCTTTACACATTGACCTTGGACACAGATCGATGTGGTTTCGGGACCGCACTGTGTGCCATCAATCACCTGTAACAGGAAGGGTTACGTTAAAGCACATTTCCTTTTCAGACCCAGAAAACCCAGCTACTGCCTTTCCTGGTTCAAACTATTCAGACAAGGAACTGGGGTTTGGATTCCAACTGTTCCTTGGCTAATTCCAATCCTAAACCATTTCGATCCAAGCGGTCGATTTGCCCCAATTAAGTCTTTTAGGATATGAAGTGCAAAAGTTTCCTAATTGCAAATGTCAAGCCACTGTTAAAGCTTTCATGCTGAGGCTCCATTCCACCACCTTTCAAGGGCACAACCGATGTGTTTCATTTCGAAAGCAATTCATTGTTAGCAAGGCAGCAACTTCAGATTATTAAACGCAAAGCATTTTTATTTGGGAAAATTATAACTGAGTGATTTGAGGACATCCAACGGTTTATCACCGAGTTCTTAAGTTGCGCAAAGAGCTAATGGCAGAGGGACCTGAAGGTCCAAATGACGGGCAAAGACAGCAACAAGACTTTAACGTTTAACGGTTGTTCTTTTCCGTTGCACGATGAATAATACTTTGGTGTAGCAACTTTCAAGCCAGTAGAACGTCCCAAAGTGCTTCGCAGGATTATACCGCAAAGTGTAGTGACTATGGATTTTTTTGTGTGGGGATGATTGTTAATCAATTGTTGTAAAATCACAGATTCGAGACAAGAAACCCTTCTAGATTTATTCTAGTGACTGAAAGTGTATCCAAACCTCCTTAGGATAATTTAATTGTTATACCTAATGCTGTCACGTCAAGAGGACATCTCTTGATTTACTGTAACGTGTGGTGACTGTGTGCTTTGTAGGCGAAAGCGACAGCCAATTTGCGCACAGCAATATCCCTCAAACAGCCATGAAGTGAAAGCATGGGAAGCCAACTGACCCATCAGGTCTCTGCTGTTGGTAATTCATTGGAGTTATCTACTCTAGTCCAACTCCCCTGCTCTCTCCCCAACCTTTTACTGTTCATTTCCCCCCACATATTTATCCAATTCCCTTTTAATTGACTGATACGGACTTTGATATGCACAGTGTTGAGGCAATCCACATTTTATCTTCAGTGTGAAAAAAAGTGCAACAGTAACGAGGGCAAATATCTTGTGGATTTGATCCTGCGGAACATGAAAGTACAGAAAGACTTGCTGAGCCATGGGGAGATATTAATTGGAGAGAGTCCATGACTTACTCAGGTCCCAGTAGCCACTTGCTGGCTCAACTCGATGGTTAACTCTTGTTATTGAGTTTCGGTTAAAATTTAATTTGATTTACAGGACAACTGCAATTGTACAGTGCCTTTCGTATGGGAAAATATCTCAAAGCACTTCAGAGATGGAGTGCGAGCCTGAGCAGGGTGCGAGATAGCAGGGTAGGAGGAGATGGCTGAGTCATAGAGACGAAGAGGTGGGTTTTTAGAAGGGGTTCTACAATCACTATACACAAAAAAATACACGCTTAGCGTACAGAAGTTAGCAGAGATGAGATGACCTTGATGTTGGCCATTTATCATTGAGCAAATAGCCAGCCAACCAACTTTCTGCTTTACATTTGGGACTAAATCCCACCTCCAAACCCTCCGCCCCACCCCCTCCTTCCCCATTTAAGGTCCCAATCCCTAACTGTTCAGCTCCTTGGGACGTATTGTATTTTTAGATCGTGCCTGAAGACCTTCTCGTGCTTATGGTTATCTCAACCCGGCTCGGCATCAGGCTCAGCGACTGTTCCACTGGTAGCGCTCCCAGACACTACCTCGCACGAAGGACACTACATAAACGCAAGTTGCTGTCACTAACTCTTTGGTTATGTGTCAGGGTCTATACACCGGTGCCCACGTTGAATCAGTCACCTCGATATCGCTTGTAAATAAACAGGTACTCACTTTGAGTTCGAAGACTTTGAACTCGCTTCTCCCTTTGACACGGCAGAACAGTTTACATCGGTCCCTTGGTGATACGCCAGAGTATTTGGGTATCCATTCAACCAGATTGCCTGCCAGATCTCTGTAATTCCAGCTGTTGTATTTTTCACACTGCTCCTCTCTGATGCTCTTCCCTACACAGTAAAACACTCAGTAAACTAAGAGACTAACAGCAGCATAATCCCTCTCCGCATAACATCTCAAACATGATTATCACACACGTTACAAGATTTATTTGCTTTGTGGTTTTCTTGAGGTGACTTTCCCCGATTGAAAAAAAAAATAGGCCATTTAATGTATTGTATTATGCAACCCGGAACCCCAAATCAACTGCATTTCAAATCATTCGTTCAAGCTTATATCGTGTCCAAGACATGGTTGAACAGTTATGTGATCTGTGAACGGCTATTCGACTTTAGGTTGCACCGAGACAGTAGAACAACAGGTTTAAGGTGGCAAACGGCAATTTCGAGACAGACACCGTTAAGTATTTATTTATTGACCCAGAAGGTAATTGACAATCGAAACTCATTTAAAAAGCATCTTGATGGTACGCTAGGAAGATGGTAGGGTGGGGTGGTTCTGGGAGGATGAGATCAAATAGGCCAAAGGGCCTCCTTCATCCAAACCTTATGACGATAATACCATGTGACCTTATATCAAATTATCAACTTTTAATTGTGAAAATTATATGTGTATTTGTTGTGTCCTAGAACCCTGCGGAGTTCCTGACTTGGGATCGTTGGTGTATCAAAAAGTAAAACCAGCTCCTGACATCAGGAATCTTGCAATCTTTTCTCCGAGTATGGTTGTGAATAATCTCACAAGTTCCGACAAACCAGTCGGGCCTTCAGCCTCTCCGCCCCCACCCTTTGGAACTCCATCCCACATTCCCTTCACCTCGCTCACTCCCTCCCTCCCTCCCTCGCCTCCTTCAAGGTGCATCTCAAGACTCTACGACTGTGCCTTCGGCCACCCTCTTACCCTCACCGCCCTCCACCCTCCCTTACTCCAACCACCCTCCCCCCACCGGGTCCAAATTATTGATTGTCCAGCACCTTGGGACATCCTCCGCGCTGTACAAATGTAATTTTGTATTGTAACGCATCCACATGCGTTCTTTTCGTCATTTACCATTGCTGGTGGGACATCCGTGGGTATTGCAGGACTGGTACTGGGTTCTTTGTCCTTCGCAGTATTTCCCACCGTTCTGAGGTACAGGGTCACTGCAATCTCGAAATGAAAACTGCACACCTCCTCCGCATGTTCTTGAACATTCTCCCCAGGGGCTCCACGAACCCCAGTTTCCCTCGACAACCGTCTGCAAAGAGAGACGCAAATTCCACATCAGTCCTGACGACACCCAATTACCTGAGTAGGTTAACTGATATCAGTGGTCAGACCTATAGGGTACTATTCAACTAAAATAACTGTGTGTCTATCATCACACAAGAGATATAATGAGAATCTTGCATTTGATAGAATGCATCATAAAATGTACAAACTATACAGTCAATCCACTGTACAATATATTCTTTGAAGCACTTTGAGTTGTTTCGAAGTCATGATAAGGCGCTATATCAAATGCAAGGATTATTATTATTATTATAGTGAAGTAATCGAAACGTCCCAAAGGGCTTCACATGATTTACCGTGAACTGGAGTAGTGTGCATTAGTAAAGGAATGTGGCGGCTAATTTTGGCACAGCAACATCTCCACAAATAGTGTTGATGTTAGTGTTAAGGCTTAATGTGTAGCTATATGTAAGAATCCACAGAACGTAAAGCTTCAGAAAGACTGCTCCTTATCAGAAGGGTTACCGCTGTTAGTAAACAGGAGGGCTGCAAGGATGCGTATAACTTTAACATAATTTGTTGATAAGGAATTCAAGATATGGAAAAAGGGATTCCTCTGAGTAACAAGACTGAATATGCACAGTCGCTACACTTCATAGTAAAATCCTGTACGATGTTATGATGAAGTGATGAGGTGTGATATCAAAAGCAAGCATTATTATTATTATTATTATAACAAATGATGATTTGAGATTAGATCTTGAAAGAACTACATAGTAAGTAAATATAATGACAGCAAGGTTACAGCTAACACACTCCGATTGCTAATACCACACGATTTCACACGCGTGTAGAATATGATTTTAATCAGTATGTAATAGACCTCAATATTTACCAATATGGACAAACAGCAACTGATCCTAATCTCAGTTAATAACCATTAATTATCAATCTCCTGTAAAAAAATGACATAGTGTCTACAATTCACACTATATCCCGTGAAACACTTCCTCCCAACACGTCATCAACGGCAAGGATTATTTTTAATTATTATTATTATATTATTAATCATTTACACGCCTTACCTTCATGTTAGTTAACTCGGCCGTGTTAAGGCATGCACTGTCTATACAGATGGCATCGTGCCCGCAAGGGGTCCCATCTGCCAATGGGAGGCTTCCGTTCTTGGTGTGGCACAAGGGTTGGTCTGCGATCCTGCACCACAGGTGAGAGCACGCGTCGGAATTGGACATGTTCGGACAATGCCGGTACTCTTCCCCGAACGTCTGCTGGCACTGTTCATCCAAGTTGTAGGTCTGCCCCGGCAGCGTGGTGGGTAACGGGATGGTTTTAACAGGAGCGTCGAGCAGGCAGTCACCTGTGGACAACCGCAGATCCAGTTAAGTACTCAGCGCGTTTTAATGCTTTTACGCTCTCAACTCAACCCCTGGTTAAGTGGAGCAAAACCCTCACCAGTGGAAGATTGTCCCTCACCAGCAGCTGACCTCTGATGGTGAAGAACACCACTGTGACATCAGGGAAATCACAGTTAAAAAAAAAAGTGTTGTGAAAGGTATAATCCATATGATACTGTACAATACAATACCAAATTACATTTGTATAGCAACTACGTCGGGAGGACATCCCAAGGCTCTGTAACAAGGATACGGTTAGATAAGACACTGAAAATAACTCCATGAAGGCTTAACTCCCTCCCTAAAACATTCTTTACAACCGAATACGCTAAACAACAGTGGTTATCTAGATTCACTGACACAGAATATGCTTCACAATTCGGAGACTTCGATTTAAATCCAAGCCAAACCGCTAACTGGAAACGTTCCTCTGTTTCCGTCGACTGCATGGACTTTAAATCTTGCGCAGACAATCACAGGGCAATCTGCGAGCTTGTACAGAAAGAAATTCTATAAAATTGTCAGAACTCATTCTATGTCCACCTACTGTCCAGAAAACTAAGTCGCACTGTAGTTTTAGCGTGAATTCTGCTGATTTACGCGCAGGAGAGCGTCTTCCTATATTCTGTGCTGGCTTTATTGAGAGTAAGAATAACAAACCTCATTCAAATGGAAGTTTGGAACTATTTCCTACCGAGCATTTACTTGCACATATTGCATGGTTAATCACGCGTGTAGCATTTGTGCTGAAAGTGAATTTTACAGGTGTGTCTGGTTTTTATACGGCTCTAAGCTTTACTCCTTTATTTATTTTCATATTGTTATATGTTGATCTGTTAATCTGTTTGGGTTTTTTTCCTTCAAATTTGTCTCCGAATCTTTGTTTTCCGAACTCCCCATGTTAAGCACACCTCGAATGAAATGACCTTATCTTTTCCATACGCACAGAAACACGTCCTGGGGAAAATCTAAATCCCAATCGTAGGAATATAAGAGAGCATGCAATGTGTGATGTTATATTATTATTGATGTGATTATTATCACATCGCGCACGTTGCATTTTACCGTCTGTCTAACTGAGCTTGGCAATATATTCAAGAAGCACAACAACTTGCATTTACACCCAGAGTTATTACTAATGGCAGTAATCCAGAACTATTACTAACAGAATCAAACTCGTGGCTGGTTTTGGGGCGGGCTAGAGTTTGGGGACTATTGCAAAATCAATCTGGGGTATTCCGTCCAATTTCAAATCAGTTTCATCAATTCAAGAAAGACTCAGATGCCAAATAACAGGCGGGCAAAATTCCGAAGACAACCCTCGAAACAGTAGTGGTCAGCGTCCCATTAAAATCCTGGGAAGAGTTTGAAAATCCTGGAGAAGGGGGGGGGGGAAAAAAAAAAAAAGTTTGAAACTTCAGGAAAAATGTTGAGTTCTGCACGGGCGCATTGCGAATAACTTACCGTGTCCGTGGTCAAAGAATTCCGTGATGTGGAATGCGCTGCACGGAGACCAAGGCAAAGTCCTGTTGAGGTGTGTGAACACAGGAGTCATCACATGTTTTTTCTCGATGTGACCGAATAGCTTGTCGCACGTCTTCGAGTCATCGTGTGGCATGCTCAACTCGTGTCCTGTAACAATAAACAGAGTAGCAGGAGCCTTAATCGCCAACAACAACAACTTGCATTTAATTCCTTCAAAAATAAACACAAATAATCGGATCACTGAAGCCACCAGCGTTTGTGGGGACGCCGCTGTGCGCAGTGACTGCCGCCTTTCGCCCACAAAATATGACAGCCAATTCACTTTACAGCGTATTCTATGAAGCACATTGAGACGTCTCGAAGACATGATAAGGCGCTGCATGAAATGCAAGGATTGTTATCATTATTATTTATACAGTGCCCTTCACGCCGGACAAATCTCGGCAGAGTAAAATAATACTGCTGCAGAGTAATATATGATACTATCCAACTGAGCACAGCAAAACATTGCTATGATACCATCACTCGCTACACCTACGTTGACCGTTTGAATGCTTCATTTCAATGGATCTTGTTCCTTCACTGCAGTTCCAGGACCTGCGACATACCCAACAGTCAAATGAATCGACTTTCTTTTAAAATCAGTATTTTTTTTTTTTAAGTGGCAACTTGCGGCTGGAATATCAACTTGTTCATTTATTGTTCGACTGTGAAAAGGCCACTTCTCAGCATACAATCCAATTTACATTTATATTAGCGTCGTTCACATCAGGAGGACATCTCAAAGCGCTCGATTAATAATTATTCGTTTCGATGAGATGTTAAAACGAGGCCCCATTTGCCTGTTCAGATAAACGTTGACGATCCCGAAAAGAGAAGATGAGTTTCCCTCGTTGCTCTGGCCACCAATCCCCCAGATAAAATTGATGATTCACTTCCCGGCTGTTGATGGGACGTGAATGTGGGCAAAACTGACTGCCACACTCACCCCTAAAACACGCAAGTCAATTCACGTTGCAGTATATAAAGGACGGCACCTCCAGCAACGCAGGGCTCCTCCAGTACTTTTGCTAGAACATCAGAGCTAGAATGCGAGTTCAAGTCCCCATGTGAATGTGGCCTAGAACACTGTTGCTCGGAGGCGAGAGTCCCACCAACCGAGCCAGACTGAGAGCAGATAAGGATGTGCAGCACACAATTCCAGCGCTGGATTCCAAGAAAACAAATCATTTCTTTTAAATTCCCATTGTATAGATTTCATGAGCCAGCAATAATAGTGAAATAGATCATCCAAATCCCAGTGCAAACACATTCCACTGCTTACTGGTGATTTATGACCGATGGCAATGAAAATTGCCAATTGGGCACACGTCGCTCAACCTCTTCACACTTCCCTTAGAAAAGAAACGCTCCAACTTTTTAGCAAAGTGAAACAGTGCAAAAAACAAATGTGACTCAGTAACATGCTATGTGAATAAATATACTGGGATTTAATTAATTCAAATTGTCCACGTTTTTCCCTTAAACTGTTTATAGAAATCCTAATTCCACTCGTTTTTGAGCTAAGTACCAATTGTCTTTGGGAGAAACAAATTATGCTTCCGCCACTTTCATATTTCATCATTTTAATTTATTCTTTAAAAAAAATTATTTCTGAATCTGGTGATTTCCGGGTATCATGATACGTTAATCAGATTAAAGTCTTGCTGGAGCCTTTGGGGCTTTGTGTGATTTGCACAGAGTGGGATTGTGCCAACATTTCTGCGGAGCAAAATGTTAAGAGTGGGTTATGGAAAAAGAGTGTATAGACTGGAGCGCAGGAACATGTGGAAGCCTTCTGCAAAAAGATAAAGGAAAGAAATCTGGTAAACAGTTTAAGGTGTCCAATGAGAATGGAAGGCCGCCAAACCTTTGCTAAGCAAAGCTTGTTAAGTGCGTAACTTTGAGAAGAGCGAGCACACCAAGTTCTTTCTCGAGTAAGACGAGGAGTGCTGAAGGCCTCCTCGCTTTGCTGGCTTTGGGTTGAAAAGCGCTGCCTTCTAACGAACCCACCACCAAACAAGAAGCCTCGTAAAAACAAGAAAGAGGAGCTGATGATGAGAACATTTTGCGAACACCTGGCTCCTTAACTGCTACCAGATGATGGGACCAAGCAGTTTTATGGCAGAGGGAAACCTATGTTGCTACGGTAATTATGGAGGAACCCCATTATAGTTCCCTTTGATATAGTGTTGGCTTGTTTAGATCACACACTAAACTAATTGGAAACGCAGTAACATTTTTCTCCCATTGCTGCAAAACTGGCTTTCAGGGCTAAAAAAAAAAAAATTGGCCAATTTCCGGTTCATCAGGTCACCGCTCATATCGCTTTCTGCACGTTTGCCGAAAGTTATTTGCAGCGAGTGCCATTAGTGTCGCTTCCTGTGGGCTGCCAATGCGACCCACGCACAGGAAGTGATGGTAACAATACTCTGTGACATGCCCGGCATAGGGGAAGTGATGTCAGTGGCGACCCGATGATCCGGAGGTTGGGTTGGGTTGGCACCTGGCTGATAGCGCAGTCGGTGAGACATTGGACCCAGATACAACAAGCTTTCCCTGTCGGTGCTGCTGTCGAGTGGACGTTTCACAGTGATGTCCTTATTACCATCACCTGCTTGTCCCCTGCGCCCACCAAAGAACAACAACAACAAATTACCCTGGTGTAGCACCCTTAACATCGGAACGACGTCCCGGGGTGCTGGACAGTCGGGGTTTTTTTGAACCCTTGAGAAACCACTTTTGAGTGCAGGCCAAATTTACCAGGCAAGTGCATGGACACGCTGCTGAACCTGCTCCTCAAAATCATCTCGGTCCATTATTCCACTGTGTGATTCACTTTCAACCGCAGTTACTCAACCTTGATTTGTATTAGTATTTGACCCCCAAAAAGCCACCCATGAAAATCGTCAATTTACATAAACTCTCCATTAATCAAGGCTTGTGTCCCTGCTTAGAAGAATTAAATCGCTTGCTAAATCTCTCCCCACCAGGTTTGGTGATGCACTTAATATCTACTCTGAGATCTGTTCTGCTGTCGTTCTTTGCGTCTCCTTATAATCGCCAACAACTGTTTACTTCTAAGCTACTTTTTTCGTGTGGCAAATCAATGCGGTTTGTGGTTTGTAAACACTTCAAATAAGATCTCACAGGAAACCACCAGCCACGACTACGGATTTTTAAGGAAGATATTTTTCCAGGAAATCGATCTCGCAATTCTGAATTGGCCGAGATTGCAGTCGGGATTTTACAATGCCGACATTTAATGAGATCTTTAATGTGGAGTCCTGTAGCTGAGTGGTTAGAGCAATCGCCTCGCAAGCGAGAGACCTGGGTTTAATTCAGGGCAGCGTGAAATGTTGGGCAAGTTTCCTTACTCCACACGCACGTTTTCTAGCAGTAAGTAGAAACCCGTTTGTTAGTCGATTGGTGGATCGCTCTTCCGGTGGCAACAATTCCTTAAAAAAATAATAAATTGGTCACTGAATCCACGACTGTTTGCGGGGACGCTGCTGTGCGCAATTGGCTGCCGCGTTTCGCCCACAAAACATACAGTCAATTCACTTTACAGTATATTCTGTGAAGCGGTTTGAGGCGTCTCGAAGAAGTGACAGGGCGCTATATCAAATGCAAGGATTATTATTATTATTTATCTCCTCCATCAGAATTGCTTTATCATCATAAAATGCTACACCTAGAAATGCCAAAGAGAATCTCAACCCCTGAACTTTCGGGGAACAGTTTTTGTTTTGCAGCGGGAGATTTAAATTCGTCTCCCCGCTTACCATTGAGAAAAGTAGAGCATCGGAAGAGGACGAGAGTGTACAAACAAAACAATTTTCAGTTCCCCGTCCAGGAAATAAGCTGTCCAGTAATTGCTTACACATGGGAAGTGGCAGGTGACAGGGTTGGACGTGGAAAAAATAAGCTGTTCTTTCTAACCAGACTGACTGTACTAGGTTATTTGCCAACACATTCCCAGCCACAACCCTGACTCTAGCCCTTCACTCTACTTCCCGAAGGGACACGGCTGACCTCATGCATAATAACAAAAATCCTTGCATTTGATTTCGTGCCTTGTCACACTGAAAGGACGTCTCAAAGCCCTCCACAGGATTTACTGTGAAGTGGAGTGACTGTAGGCAAAAGCAAGCAGGCGATCTGCATGCATCAAACGTGCCACAGATAGCCAAGAAGCGAGGGCCTGATTTTGTTTCGGGGAATTGTTGGCCCGGACACTGGGAAAAACGCCCTTCCCTGTTTCGAATAGTGCCATGCGATTTTTAACACCTCTCGGAACAGATACAGAGGACTCAGAATAGTAATTAAACTCATTATACCCACGTTCCTTATGTGTAAGTAACCTAAAAATACCAGTCACTGCACTTTATGGTGACATCCTGTTAAGCTCTTTGATATGTCCACTCCACAAAAGATATGCACCCTCTTGTTACTCTTATTAAAACCTTCAACACCATCAATGAGATCAAAAATCACCAATTATGCTTTCATCAACAGGGATTTGGGGTATAACGCACAATAATAATAATAATAAAGACGTTTGCCAACGCAGACATGAAGGATGATGACGACATCATAATAATCCTTGCATCTGATATAGCGCCTCATCGGATCTTCGAGACATCTCAAAGCGCTTCAACAGGATACACTGTAAAGCGAATTGACTGTATATTTTGTGGGCGAAACGCGGCAGTCAATTGCGCACAGCAGCGTCCCCACAAACAGTCGCGGATTGAGCGACCACAACGATTTTTTTTATTTGAATGTTTCAGTACCCAGTTCATGTGCAGTCGTGTAAGCTGCCTGGAGCCCATCATCCTCGATCACCGCACAGCTCCGGCTTGTATCACACATGGTCCCGGTATCTGCCACTCCCATGGTATCACAACTCTGCTGCCCACATATGTTCTGTGAATGAAACAGGAGGCGATCGGTCAAAGCTAATTCTTACCCCCACGAGGCAAACATGATCAAAGGCTTTCTATAATGAAACTCGTAGCCGCTGCACTGGAATATCCGTATCAATCGCATTCCTCACTTGTAACGTTCTCCCTTTCATTCCACACGAGCCTTGAAATCAACGACAGAAGACGTGACAACGAATGCGAACCCGAGACCTAAGGTGCGCTCGGGCAAGTGTCAACAGCACAAGATTTAACTGTGTTTTTTGGTCGAAGACATTCTCCCTATCTGCGACCAGACACCAAGTCCAGAAAAAGGCACTCTCCCATGTGGAAGGCACTATTTCAGGGCAAACTGTTGTTGCTGTATCCAAAATAACACCATGGTGACCCACAGGAACTCTGCTGTAAATCAATCCCCTTCTTCAGCAATTTGACAGAAATTCTGATGAGGAAATCCGTTAAGAAATGCGCAGATTAGACCCATTTCTAAATATGCCATTGGCGACTGCAAAATAGGTTTATAAAACGAGAGAGCCAACAAACAAGGTGTTAATTTGTTTCAGCATTACTGCGGATACTTACATTGGAATCCGGGTCTATACAGCGGGATGTTTAAGTCAAGTAGTTGCTTACTGATTGACTTGTCCATAAGGGAACTTTGCTATTACAGCACGTTAGAAAGTTAGAACCAAATAGGGACTTGGCAAGGATTTGCTTCTACATTATAAGGAGGTTGCTTAACTGAGACTGACGCATACAATCATATATGCAGTTTGCTGCGTTAAAGGTTCTTTCAGGGCATTTAAGACTTGTTCATAAAATATCAGGTCACTTCTTATCAGAGCATAATCTAATCAGTCCAATTTTCATCGAAAATAATTGCAACTGGGACTAGGGATTCTTTTTAAAACACATCCAAGAACCCGATTTTCAAATAAGAGTTTGTAATAAAAAGGTTCCATTGTAAATCGGATTATCGTTGAAAGGCACAACAACTGCAACGTTAAGGTTTGTTTAGGTTTAGGAAGCCCGGCTGTAAGTAGAATACTGTAAACTTTACCTTAGTTATTAGAAGTTTCTACACATGTAAGTGGAGGGAGAGACACACTGTGAAAAACGTGTACACGTTTCTGAGCTGCCCATTTCTTCCAAATTGGATTACGGGCTTGGTTACGCTATTGAATTTCAAACGCGAGTCAACCTGCCGCATTTTGCTTTGCAGAACTTTTCCGGTACTTAACGAAGGAAGCGCAGTCTCAGGCTCAGTACCTCGGTTTCCATCAGAGACTCATTATAAAACGTTCCCAAGGAACATAATCCTGGAGCGCGGCACCTAGAGGGAAATGTTGGTACAAATCCACAAGTAACAGTTCCCAACATCTGTCATCGCCCCCTAATGATCTTATTATGAAACCACTGATGAAACAGTTAAGAGAGCAGGTGTAGGGTTTCTGAAATCTGATCAGTACCTGAGCAGCAACTGCAACAGGGACTCGAGCCTCTTTATTGCAAACGAAATGGGGTGGTGGGGGGGGGGGGGGAGAGCTAGTAGTTTCGCAAGCTCAGAGAGAAAGGATTTACACGGTGCCTTACGTCAAAACATCTCACCGAGCTTCACAGCAATTATTGTAAAGAACAAATGGGTGACCGGACCGAAGACCTTCAGTACCAAGTACCAAGGATGTTGATCTAGTAATTGACAGGACATGTCTGGGAAAAATAAATGGCTTTGTCATCATCAAGGACGTGCGCTGATTATCAGACGCATTGAAAATGTTCGGTTACGCCAGTTACAGGTGCTCGTTTAGCTCGTAAATCGCAATAATAATATGATAATCTTTGCATTTGATACAGCGCCTCATCGCATCTTCGAGATGTCTCGAAGCGCTCCGCAGAATGCACTGTAAAGTGAATCGACTGCGTATTCTGCCGGCGAAACGCGTAATCTCTGCGTCAATAGGAGGTGTAAAGGCTTTTCCTTCTGCTGTGCAAATGACAACGCCAGGAAAGACTTTTATTCAACGTTTCGAATCCATTTGTAAACAGAAGAAAAATCTTGCGTTCGGGAGTGAGAGTGGGCGTAGGTCAAGGGAGCACCAGCAGCCTGCAGCTCATCATTGCGACTGCCTCCAAATTCTCCTTAAAACCCTCTTTTTGGTCAATTTCGTCATACAGCAGATTTCACGCAGGGAGGACGTCTCAAATTCGCTTCACATGGCTGGGTGTTTGAGGCGGGGCAAGGATGGGGGGGGGGGAAGAGGGGGTGGGAGGTGGTGTCGGCGGAGGAGAGGAGAGAGGGATCTGACTCAAAGTGCGGGCCAAAAGATTTTAAGGTGGGTTGCGAAGGGCAGCAAGGAAGAGGCAAGACGGAGCTGCAGAGAGCGGGGGCAGAGTGGCCGAAAGCTCTAAAATAAATCAACTAGTGATTTTTTTTTTTTGGGTGGTGGGGGGGGGGGGGGGGGGCGGTTGGGAGTGGGAGGCGGTGGCAGGGAGTGTGCGTGCGCAGGTTTCTGGATCAGCGGCAGAAGCTTGACAAGTAAACCTCGGCATTTTATTTAATATTGTTATTATTAAAAAAAATTGGGCGGGGGGGGGAAAAGGAATTATTACCCCCGATCCGCCAATCGACTAACAATCGGGTTCCTACTTACTGCTGGATAAACAGAGGCGCGGGGGGGGGGGGGTAAGGAAACTCGCCCAACGTTTCGTCCGGTCCCGGGAATCGAACCCAGGTCCTCTCGCTTGCGGAGCGAGTGGCTCTAACCCCTGAGCGACAGGACTCTCCCCCCCCCCAAGTTAAGGTATTCATTCCAGGATAGCAAACCCCCTCAACGATCGCCTCGTCTCTAATGTGCGTTACGGCATTATATTCCCCGATGCGCTTTGAGACGTCTCGAAGATAAGAGGGGAGGTGGTGGTGGTGGTGGTGGTGGTGGGGCGGGTGGTCAATGCCTGTGTGCTCCCCAACACCCCCCCACTCCCAGCATAGATAAACCCCAACCCCGGCACAGTCCCACAACAAGTGCCTCCAATGAGTCAATTTCACAGCGAACGAGGGAGGGAGGGAGTGGGTTATAATAAGGCTACTTTACCCAGTGAAAAAGGAAAAGATTATCCCGTCTGCATTGCAGGGGTTAACGTACCTAAATCCACCAGCGCAATGATCCTACCCCCTCGGCTATGGCTTGCCAGGCTCGACTCTTGCTGTACAATGAGGCGACGGGTTCTTTAAACGCTGCTCGCGCCGCTGGCAATTGGTCAGAAGCACGTCCGTGCGGTGTTTCGGAGCCCTCCCCCACCCCTTCGCCCTCCCGCGAGGGCTCCCGGCGCTTCTGCTGGCGAAAGACCATGCACGGGGGAGCGTGGGGTTGAAGGTTTAGTCACAATTCCGTGAGGGCGGGGGGCGGAGGGGGTGGGGGGGCTGCTTATCGTGGGGTTACGAGGGTTGACCAGGATTTCCGATTCATTTTTGAAGCCCAAAGTCGACCGGACGGGAGGCCGAACGCAGCCCAATATTGCGCACTGAGTGGCTCGTTTGGGTATCAAGAGCAGCGCGTTCCCCCAGCCCTCTCTGACGACATCGGTTGGGTTGGGAGTGCGGGGGTGGGGGTGGGCGGTTGGGGGGGGGGAGGGGAGAAAAATAAAGGGGTTAGCGCTAACCACTGAAGCTACGGAGTTTCGTGGCGTAGCGATTAGGAAAAGGGAGAGGGACCCGGGTTCGATTCCCAGGCAATCGATTGCGGATCACTTTCCCAGGGGGTGGGGAGGGGGGGTTTTCCCCTAAAATATTCGGTCACTCGACCCCCAACCGTTGGTGGGACGCCGCTGTGCGCAATTGGCCCACAAAAAACACGGCAGTATCTTAAAGAGTGTATTCAGTGAAGGGCTTTCGAGACGTGATAAGGCACTTTATCAAATGCAAGGATTATTATTATTATTGTTATTATTATTGTTAAGGAGGGAGAGAGAGAGGGAGGGGAGGAGAGAAGAACGGGAAGGGAGAGGGGAGAGAGAGAGGAAGAGAGAAGATGGAGAGAGAGGGGGAGTGGAGGAGGAGAAGGAGGGGAGAAGGAGAAGGAGGGGAGAAGGAGAAGAGGAGAGAGAAGATGGGGATAGAGAGGGAGGGGAGGAGAGGAAAGTGGGGGAGATAGGGAGTGAGGGGTGGGGGGTCCCCCGGAGTCAGGTACCTGTCTGGTGAAGAGGATGGCGGTGTCGAAGTGCTCGGGATGCCTCTCGCCGGGCGGGTTGTGGTCCAGCTGCCAGCTGCAGAAGTTGCGGAGGGTCAGTCCGGCGTTGGCCGACACGGGGGGTCCCGCCGCCTCCTCCTCCACCAGCAGCACCTTGACGACCACCACGTTGACCAGGTTCCTGATGCTGGGGTCCCGGTACAGGCGGGCGACCACCGCCAGCAGCGTCAGGAGGTAGTGCTGCAAGCCGCTGCCGTGGAAGCGCACCATGGACGGGTCGGCCACCAGCAGCGTCTCGATATAGCGCGCCTCCGACACGAACCTCTTAGAGCGCGGCTTGGCCCCAGCGCCTCCCCCGGGCGAGGGGCTGGGGCGCGCGGCTGGGAGGGGGGCAGCCCTGGGTACACGACTGCCCCTGGCACCCCATTCTCCTCCATCTCCATCATCTCCTCCATCCCTCCTCTCGGTACCCTCTTCCTCTCCTCTATCTCTCCTCCTGGTACCCTCTTCCTCTCCCTCTCCTCCTCCATCTCCGCTCCTGTCTTCTCGTCTCCGGATCAAATGGGATCGGGTCAGGTCCGGGTTCGGACTCGGGGTCCAACCCCCCATCGCGGGCTCGATCAGATACTCCTCTCCATCCGCGTAAAAGGCGCCCCTCATGCCCTGGCACAGGCTGACGGCCACCGCCGAGCCAGACTGCCCGTTCACGGTCCCGGAGTAGAAGCAGCGCCTGAGCTCAGCCTCCTGCCTCCGCGCAAGCGCCCGGGAGCGCCCCCCGCTGCCGCCCAGCCTCTGCACGGTGAAGGCGGGTGCCAAGAAGCTGGAGTCGGGCACCAGGTACAGCGTGAAGTTCCTCCCGAAGGCTCCGAGCGTCCACACCCCCCCCTCCTCCTCCCCACCCTCAGCACCCCCCGCCAGCCTGAGCGGGGTGGTCAGTGCCTCCTGCCACCCCTCCCGGCCAAGGCTCGCCCCCCCCACCGCCATCACCCCCCAGCCCCACAGCCACAGGAGCACAGCCCCACCAGGCATCTCCCCCCCCACACACACACACCCCACCCCTCACTCACTCACTGACCTCACTCTCTAACCTCACTCAACTCTCCAATCTCTCTCTCTCTCTCTCCCTTACTCCTCACTCTCTGAGCTCTCACTCACTCTCTGAGCTCCCACTCACTGAGCTCTCACTCACTCTCTGAGCTCTCACTCACTCTCTAAGCTCTCACTCACTCTCTGAGCTCTCACTCACTCTCTAAGCTCTCACTCACTCTCTAAGCTCTCACTCACTCTCTCAGCTCCCACTCACTGAGCTCTCACTCACTCTCTGAGCTCTCACTCACCCTCTGAGCTCTCACTCACTCTCTGAGCTCTCACTCACTCTCTGAGCTCTCACTCACTCAACTCTCTAACCTCACTCTCTAAGCTCTCACTCACTCTTTCACTCACTCACTCACTCACTCTCACTCACTCAGATCTCTGCCTCACTCACCTAAGGAAGGACAAGAGGGAAGTGCAGAGAGAACACACAGAAAATTCACCACTATTGGGGGTTAAAAACAAAACAAAAGGGGGCTATAAACCACTGATATACAAACAATTACAACCCCAAAAAATGATTCCCCCCCCTTCAAAGAAATAAAATTTTGCACCAAGAAAATTGCCCCCAAAACAAAAATGAGAACAAAGTCAATTTTTGCAAATGTGAAAAAAAAATGTTTGGCAAAAAAAAATCACAGAAGAGAAGATGGAAAAAAAAACTCTCTGATATTAACAAAAAAAATACAAATAAAATCCACTTGGATCCCAGAGAGAACTGCTAATAACTTCTCATCGAGTCCTGCGCTGTACTGTACTGTACTGCACTGCACCTCTGTCTCTGACTCTGACTCTGACTCTCTCTCTCTCTCCTGTGTGTGTGTTTAGATAAAAAGAAACCTCAAACCATCCTTCCTTTCCCTTTTCCTTTTTCCTGCTCTGACACACACTCTCTGCACTGTCCTGATACACTCACTCACACACACACTCACTCACACACACACACACACACCCCTGGTATGTACAGCCCTAATACACAGACACACACACAGCCCTGACACACACACACACTGCTCTACACAGCCCTGACACACACACTGCTCTGACACACACACACACACTACTAATACACAGCCCTGACACACACACACTGCAATACACAGCCCTGACACACACACACACACTGCTCTACACAGCCCTGACACACACACACACACACTGCTATACACAGCCCTGACACACACACAGCTATACACACACTGCTCTGACACACACACACTACTAATACACAGCCCTGACACACACACACACACTGCTATACACTGCCCTGACACACACACACACACACACTGCTTTACACACACTGCTCTGACACACACTGCTATACACAGCCCTGACACACACACACACACACACACTACTAATACACAGCCCTGACACACACACACTACTAATACACAGCCCTGACACACACACTGCTATACACTGCCCTGACACTGCTGTACACACTGCCCTGTGCTGTGCTCTGTGCTCCAGTCCCCCTGATGGCTGCAGTAGCAGTGAGACTGGGAATGTCTGAGCCTTATATACCCTTCTGACTCCATCCATTGACATAAGAGGGTTTATTTTTATTCGGTGTCTCTTCCTTTGATCACTTTCAGGATTTGCTCTGCCCTCCCCTTGACTGGCTGCGAACTCACAACCAACCAGAGAGCAGCCCATCACCCCCTCCCTCCCTCCCAACCATCCCAAACACTGGGTTTATTAACCCCCACAGCACCTCCCAACCCCTCACAGCTCCCCTGGCTCTCTCCCCCCCTCTCTCCCCCCCCCCCCACCCCTCTCTCTCTCTCTCTCACAATTTTTTAATTTAATTTAAAACAAAACAGCAGATCAAACTTTTTTTTGGATCACATAGCAAACACACACACACACCACACAGACACTCCCATGTGTAGTGCGGAGGCAATGGAATTATTATTCTTATTGCTATTAATAATAATCAAAGTACGATGAATCGTCATCCGTGTTTAAACACAACTATTTGAATTGCTACTGCAAGGCGGGGCGGGCACGAGAAAACTTATTGGTATTAATAATAATAATGATAATAATAAAAAAGCTCACACGCACACAGAGTGGAATCGAAAGCGCTTGGCGGAATACACTGCAAAGCGTAGTGACTGCCTATTTTGTGGGCGAGAACTCTCAGTTTGCTTTGGATACTCTTAAGCACGGCTGACCCCCAAACACACACACACACACACACACACGTTAAATTGTTTTCTGGAAAAGGAAAGGTTAAGCGAGTTCTTATTTGCTCGCCCTGCCTTGCAGCAGCAATTAAAATAGTTTTTAAACGCAGATTACAATTCATCACACTTTTATTGGCGAAGGTTTTTTTTTTACGGAGGGAGGTAGAGAGGGGGAGACTATTACCGTGTTCCACTGTGTTTTGTTTGGTTAAAATCGTCCCGTTCAGCACTGGTGATTTGTTTGGAATAACGACGCTGTGTGTAGTGGTTGTGAGCCGCACACGGACACAGACACAGACACAGACTGTATCTAAACACCAACCAACACAGCAATCCCTCCAGTCAGATCCTTAAACCTTACTGTCGATTTCTGTCTTGCTTTCTCTCCCCCCGCCCGCGCCCCCCCCCCCCCCCCCCACCCACCCTCTCTCGCTCTGGATTTTCTTATGAAAATGAATTAAAAGGTAGGAATAGGAGACGTGCAGGTGGAGTGAGGCTTCGATATGTTGAGCGACAATTAAGCTTTCCCCTTACATTCACGTGGAATCGTTTTTATTTCAAAACAGCACATCTCTTCTCTCTTTCTCCCTCTCGCTGTTTCTTTCTATCTCTCTTTTTCTCCCCGTCTTTCTCTCTCTCTCTCTCTTTCTCTGTTTTTTTTCTCTCTTTCCTTTCTATCTCTCTTTTTCTCTGTCTCTCTCTGGCTGTTTCTCTGTATCTTCCTCTCCTTGTCTCTCTCTCTCTCTTCTCTCTCTCTCTCTGTTTCTCTTTCTATCTCTCTCTTTTTCTCTGTGTATTGCTTCCCTCCAATTAGCTGTCTCTTCTGTTTTAAAAAAAGACATCTTGAAACCCTAAAACACACGGATGCTTAAGGAAATGTTTGTGTTCTGGAAGTAACGTTCAGTATTTACTACTGTTGTTTATACATGTAAGTATGAACCAGTCTGACCAAGTCTAGCCAGGAGCAAGTCAGACATTTATTCCCAGTGGGTAGGTAGGAAATCATTCTCTACCGCTTGAACTCAACCCCAGAACTGATCACAGCGAATCTCAACCTCACAGCAAAATCCACGAGGGGAACTTTGCCAAGTCTTATCATTATTACTGATAATAACCCTCGATCCCGCCACAGTAGGTGAAACCAGAACTCAACTCAAAGACCGAATAAAACAGGTTATTTCCTCTTCTTTGCTCCCGGTTTTAACCCAACTTCTATTTCACATGCTGTGGATTGCAGATTGTCAGCATCGACAGCTTTTTTCAACACGATCTACCTGCCCAGAGCTCCCTTTCTCCGCCTCCCAAATATACATTATATATTCCATCTGATAAATTCAGTGCTTGACTTTTGTTGATTCAGAATACTGTAATTCGCCACGAGGTGGTACTGCTAACACACGATTGTTTCTGTGCCTCAAAATAATAATACTAGTAATCCTTGCATTTGGAATCGAGCGCCTTATCGGGTCTCCGAGATGTCTCACAGCGCTTCACAGAATATACTGTACAGTGGATTGACTGTGGGCGAAACTCAGCAGACGATTGCGCACAGCAGTGACCCGTGGCACTGCTGTGCGCAATCTTGGTACGATGTACCAAGAATGCTCGTGAAAATACATCTTTGGCTTTGACTCAATAAATTGTTAGTGCAAGGACAGAGTGGATGTCAACATAATTTGCTGGTCCTGTGCATTGTGACCGTAAACACTGACTACATTCTGGAACTGTTTATCGAAGCCGTCAATATTTACAAAACCAAACCGAGTTGTTTCGATTGCAAAGGAAATAAACATGTTTAGTCATAACAATTATTATTAGCAGATGTGAATGGCATGTCAATTATCGTGCCGTTCGATTATATATACATACATCGATTGTATTTTAAAATTATTATCCATTGTATAAAACAATCCTTTAAGAAGGCACACAATCAGTCAGTTTGCAACACAACTTCCTATCACCAGATGTCAGTCTTGGCTTAATTTTGCACAGGAAAAGCACCATCACAGCAGATCAAACACATTTTTGAGCACTCCGCGGGTATTAGCACGTTGGTGCTTTATTAATTTTAATTCTTATTTCATGCCTTTGTTTTAAACGCACGTGAGAGATGTTTAACTGTTTATCCTTTGTATATATGACACCAAATCCGTTGATGGGGGAAGAACGGCAATGGATAAACTTGCTTCCATTATCCAGCAGATGGCATCAACTTAGCCTGTTTCTCCTGTTTGTTATTTCGATTGGTTTTTATTCAGAACAAGAATGATCAATGTTGGTTCGAAAGAAGAAATAAAACTGGGAAACCGGGAGTTTTGGAGGAATCCCCGAAATTTTCAGTACAATTTGTGAAACCGCAGTCGTTAAAACCTCGTCCACGATACAAAAAATGTCACTGCGGTCAGAAGAAATATCAGACCAACTGTTGTAAATGCAATACAATATAAAATTACATTTACACAGCGCCTTTCACGTCGGGATTTGGACCCGAATAGGGCGAGTGGGGGGTCTGGGTTTGGGGTAAGGGAGGTTGGAGGGTAGGAGGGTGGCCGAAGGCACAGTCAAAGAGCCATAAAAGCTTCAAAGCAAAGCTAATATATAACTCTCGGTATCATGGAAGCTTCGCTTGTGTTGACAAATGACCATTTGACTCGTCAGCGTCACCTAAAGTTTACGGTGAGGAAAATGATCATTTTC